TCAACCAAGCGTAACTTTTTCTTATTTTTACACTTAACTGTTCTAAGCGATAGATAAACAAAAGTTAAACAAAAAGGGAAAGCTTTCGTCAAATATCGTAAATTCTGTGTAAATTTTTACTATTTTCGCGGTTTATTTTCGATGCCATGGAAATCCGTATTGCTTGCTCGCTTTGTTAGACATACTTCTAAAATCTATTATTTATTTTAAATAGACAATTAGTGTTAATTTTCAATAGAATTATTATTACTTCTAGTTGCAGCTTTCGAATGCGGTAAATTCAAAACAAATTATACGATCATATTTTCATTATTCAGATAAAATCACTTCATAAATATTTATTTACGTAAACAGCTTAACTTTAACGTTAAGAATATTTCAAGAAACTATTGAAAAAAAATATATATAAATAAATAAAGTAAAAGGAGAATACGTTATTAAGTCATCCTATTATAATATAAAATTTTTAAAATAATCATATCTCTCGTATTAATTTAAACGAGACAACTTTAACAAGCGCGTAGAAAATTTAGGAAAATTCTGAAAAACACAATTTATTCAGTAGAAGTTGTGACTTAAATTGACTGTAGGGTGATAAAATAAAACCAATATATAATTTTAATTATACATTGTATAGTTATACAAATAATATATATAATTATACAAATAACAGCTATATATATATATATATGTAGATATATTGTACAGGCTATCGGCTTTGGTTAAGTAAAGGAAATTAAATATTGAGCCCAGTAATAAAAGCAAAACGTTATAAGATATGAATATGGGTTGGGTTTATTTCAGATACATGACATTTTTATTTAAAAGTTAATTCATGTAAATGACCGTTTGTGGATTAGCACGTAACGCATCACTCAATAAGTCTCAGGTCTGACACATATACGGCAACATTGTTGACAGGGCTATACGATTTCTAAAGAGGATCATCTTTCAAACGAGATATTTTAGATTTTCATGACATTTGGCGACCATTAGTTTAAAAGTTACAGTTGTTTTAGTGACGCTACCTTTTTGTTTGTTAAAACAATGAAAAAAAATAGGATTTTCGTTGTGTTGATTAAAGGGTCCTTTTTAAAGAGACAAAACGCCAATGTGTTCATAATCAGCTTTGGCTTAAAAGACGCTATGGCGACTCTTGTCTGTCGAAAAAAAAAATTTGTGATCGGTATTTTCAAAACACATGCCGCGTTTGCCTACTCTTGACAACAAACTTTCGTTGATTCAGAGCGCTACTTGGCGCTTTTTACGTGAAATATAAAGCGATATGTGACAAAGCATCAGCAAAACAGTTGTAACTTGTAAACTAACAGTCGCCAAACATACTAACTCTGAATCTGGATCTATTGAATGGGTATCTTATGACTGAACATATACTTTTTAAATGCAGAAACCATTGCATTACTGGAAGACTCGTTTTCGAAGTTTTTAACCCTATGGACATCCTGAAAGTAACGTCGAACATAACGTCAATAAGATAGTTAACTTTATTAAAGCGACAAGACTAACCATTTAGTCTATCCGTTACAAGAAAAAAGACAGTCTTGCTGCTTGCCAGAGCGAATCCTACTTTATTAAGCCTAGAATTTATTTCTTTAGTCTTGGGAAACTACAGTAATAATAATAACGATAACAGTCATAATAATATAATTAGAGATATAACTATTGCAGTCGATTCATATGAATTTTCCATGTCTGCAATTTAACATTGAAAATTCGAACACAGGCAAATAAATAAGCAACAAAAACCTCGCTCTTATGGCACTCATGTTTTCTGCTTTTTCAAACGAAAGGGCAATATTAGTATAATCCCTTTGTTCAACGGTGTATAGAGCAGCGTCAAAGCAAAGACAGGGAGAGAGAGAGAGAGAGAGAGGGAGAAAAAGCAAGATATGTTCTTGCAATCTTCCAACTAAATCCAACCTTACGATTGGGGAAAAAGCCTTAAAAAATCGATATCATCGATAGCTTCATGTTCCCGCCATATCTTCGTAGCCTATTATTTTGATAGAGAAGAATAAACAAAAAAAAATATAATTTTTAATGTCCTCATAGTAATGTTGCTATTTACTCTTAGGCTATCTGGGTCATATTTATGTTAAAAGAATTAATTATGCTGTGCAATGTATATCAGTACGCATATATATATTGCAATAATAGCTCTTTTGGCCCAAAGACATCATAATGCATGGTATCTATCTATACATACATACAAAGTGATTGTGTACGATCGCTCGTTCGTACATGCAAACATATGGAAGTCTCTTGAAAACAAAAAACAAGTAAAGAAATTACCGTCAGGCAAGGTTGACCATTAAATAACCTACACAACCTCCTCCTGGTTAAAACCTTTAATTATCTTCGCTATAAAATAGCAAAACAATGCAATTTAAACTAATTCACTTGATTTTTTTGATCGCCGTAATATCTCTCTTGCGAATCTTTTATGTCAAATTTGGGAATTGCTTACTAATTTTTTCCATGCACTATTAAAAAATAGACTTCTCGACAATATGACGTCAAATGAAGGGTGGTGTTTATGATCCGAAAATAATTTACTTAGCGATGTTTGTTAAGAAATTTTAAAAGTTGCAATTTTCATACTTTATACTACTTGCGATACATGGTATATTAAGTTTGAGCAGAAGCATGCATCCCACCCACTCATCTTTTACTATAGCGATGGATTCGGAATCGCCTCATTTTTCATAAGAATGGTTAAACTGGAGGGAGTTTAAAAAATTGGGTGGCCATAATTTTCATGAGAGATGAAAGCGAAATCAAAACCTGTATGGACGTGGGCCAGATTTAAAAATTTTTTTTCAATTTTCTCGTTTTGAAAAACCTTGTGATTCTTGGTAAACTTTTGTTCCTGTCATAAATTAGCAAATTGTAGACTTTGGTGTTACTTTCCTTGGAGTGTAGTCCAAAATATAGATCTGTCTGGTCCAAATTTTCTACACTCAATCTATATTCAAAACTACTACTATGGAGCAATTTTCTTCATGAAATGTTAAAATTTAGACCTTTTTGTCAAACAAGGGCTTACTTGTCTTGAAAACTGTCAGGTGAGGTGTAAATCCAAAAATAGACCAACGTGATCCATATTTACTAAAGTTAACTCTTATGACAATTTTCCATTACGCACAAATTTTCCCCGTAAAATATTGAAGATTACACTGTTTTATCACTAAAAGGGTTATCTCAAAAAGTTGGTCCATCCAAACATTTCTTGACAATATGGTAGGTTAACATCTTCATATTGCGATTTTTGTCAAGAAATTTTAAGATACGCGACTTGTTTTTCATAAGCCGTCATGCGATGGGCGGTCCGATCTAACCTATTTTCAATTGGCTTTGCCCTTGGGGCAAAACATCGATATACCGTCAGCAGCACATACGAATTTAAACGGTTTTTGAAGATGTTTCTAAACCGATCGGAACGGCAAAAGGCCAGACTATATGAAAGTACTCTTTCACGATTACTCTTGTGTCAGAAGCGGTGTAAGAAATAGAATCTATCGTTAAGTCGAATGTTAAATTCTCCTCGACGAAATATTTTACGTTTTTAGTATGCTATGAAAAAAAAAATTTTAGTCAATTAGACATTACGCAGTCAAGCAAGTAATACAGTTCATGGTGGGCTCGCGCTAGTAAAACATGTAATGGATTTTACAGATAATTTATATATATCGACAATGTCGAGTTGAAATTTTGTCTTAATTGTATAATGTTTTTATGTGAAAATCTTGACTTTATTTTGGCCGAGAGCCAAATGTTTCTATGTTAATTTTTTGTTTATTTTAAAAATGACGACAATAAGCAAACCTCGACATATCCACAATGAAACTAAGTAGACGCACCTTTCAGTTCAGAGCATATTTACTTCTGTGACAATCTGAACGATAAAATGAATATGCTCATAGCCGCTGTCTAGAAGCTAGATGTAAAACTAAAAACAATTGCTTTCATAATTTTCATAGCCTGTTCGCCTTCATTCGATGGTCTTCTAATGCTATAAATCAAAAAAGTGAATGGTTTCGTTTGTTTGATTTTGAAAATTTTTTTTATCCAATGCTTTTATTTTCTCTGTTATTGATCGTTGAAGATATGAAAATGTACCCTGATGATGAAATGTCTGCTTAATGACTTTCAAAGAATTTTAATTTTACGATTAGAAGACTTCTTTCAAAGTTTCTAAGTGTTTTGTCTTATAACATATGCTCTCGTTATTCTTATTATTTTAAACGTAAATGTCTCGCTCGTATGACATAATTCATTTTTCATAAATCCATGATATCACCACTTCGAAGAAAGATGTCATTGGCAAGGCTCAAGTTCTATAGGAAGCTTTAAAAGTAAAAAAGTGTACTGCTACACCTAGCAAACGCGGCATAAGAGGATGTATGAAAGTATACCTCAAATAGCACTGTATTCCTAATCAGCGCGACACGTCAAATAATTTTAACCACATCGTAGGAAAATTGATTGAAATTCTCATTTTTATGGAAACAACTAAAGGCGAAGCGAGGTGGACAGACGGACAGACGTGCGTAGAACTGAAACAAGTTGCGTCTATTTCAAGCCCTTCAGTGTGTTATATACAGCCGCTTACAATAGCCGCTTTATCTACCCTTGTACCACAAACGGTAAAACAATGTTCATAAAATTCCAAAGTTGAAACTTTTTTGCTGTACTCGTCATGTCGACTAACGATCGATTTTTGTCATTTCTTTATTTACTTTTACTAGTTTAGTTTTCTTTGCAACTAACAACGCATTGTCACGCCCATGTCTATATTAACTCAACTATATTTGATATAATATTGGTTAACTGGATTGTGTAACGGTCTCTAAAGAAACTTTCATCTTATAATAAATAATTAATGACTTATGCGCGTTCGAAATTATGTACAGTGTCATCCTAATAAAACAGAAATTTATTGCTTTTGTGTTGATCGTCACTTGATTTTGTGAAAATAGATTTGTATCAAGAGACTGTCAGACGTTTTACACGATCGTCTTTGTCGCCGGAAGTGGACAGATATTCACCTATGCGTTATTCTTTTCGTGCGTCTGCCAATAAACAGAATTTTGATATCAATCGTCGACAATCTTGTAAGTCATTCAATGTTTTGTCAATTTACCAAACTCTTATGAGCTTTTATTTTTTTCTTTCTTTTAATAAATAATTTATATTTATTTATTTTTTTTTTGTTGTAATTTTTATTTAATTTATTTTATAATTTTGCTTGTTGTTGTTATGTTCTTTATGCTAAAGACGATTTGTATCTAGAGGCCACTGGCCGACGACGAAGTTCAGGTAAGCAAAGCGGCGGATTCAATAAATTAAAAATTTTACTGAAGATTAAAAAATTTCTCTAAAATTGTTCACTAATATTTTTCATTACAAATTTTAAAATTGTTTTCACTAAAAAAATTAACTTTTCTAACGCTTTCTTTCGTAAATCCAACATGTAAGTGGATTGTTTATATCATATCTGTTTGTAAAGCATATAAGCACAGATTGGAAACTTCTTAACTTCGACTCTAATAAAGTGAATTATCATTGCTACTGTCGATAATGGACGCCCTACTACCGTGCACACAAAAAATTCAACTATAGTTATCGCAGGAATATATTAAATGTACCGAAAAGAAACCATGTGCGTTGCATTTCTATTTATCCGCTCTTTTTCCGCTTCTATAATAGATGTTCGACATTGCGTAAAGACTTTACATACACTTTGCGTACCTTAGAGCAAGATTTAGTCTACCTTTTTACTAGGTACGCAAATATGCAACTGGAGTTTGCCCACAAGTAGCGCTAACCTCAAACAATGAAAATGTCTAGATTTGTGTCAAACGAACGAACGATACGAATGATAATCTTTTTTACATCCTCACTCGAGATGAAAAGTGGAACTGTGAGACACAAGAATTTATGGATAAATGTAGACGTGCCACCCACGTCGACTGTAAGACTTAATTTCTTTAGCAGAAATACGACGAGAAAATGCGTATTATATTTATATATGACATCCGTTGATCCATCCATATAGCAAAACCAGTTCTCGATACATTGAAATCGCTCAACCGAGAAATGCTAGCCCGTGAGATGTACTCTTATGACTTGTATTCTTCCGATTACCATTCATTTGCAACCATGGGGCGCATAATTGCTCAGCAGCGCTTCCCAGTGAAAATTTCTCGAAGACTGGCTTGCCTCAAAAGAGCAATACTGCTTTTGGCGTTTCATTCAAAATCGCCAGACAGATGGTAGAAGCAAATAGCTAACGATGCGACAATATTTCAATTAAAGTATATATTATTTTATCATTTTTCTACAATAAATGTGTATTTTCTGTGCTTGGAATTCCCATTTCATAATTACGTACCTTTGAGACGATCTCCCAACCTCGACGGGGCAACTAAGTTCCAAAATGATCTCAACCGACGAACTAAACCACTTTTGTTTAAGACAGCTTTTTCTATATCTGGGTTTGTTCTCCCTGATCTTCCTAACTGTTCACTATTAAGGTTCACAATTTAATTGCAAAGATCTATAGACTTACTTTACGACTGACTGATCAGCGATTTAATAAAATATGTATTCTGGCCCTTAAGTGATAATACGTTACCTAATCGTTAGTATTTGGTTGCGGAGAGAGCATTTTCAGTGTCCCCTAGGGGTGTCTCGTGGTGGCTGTGGTTGCCCCCAATATAGCGGGAACATTAAATATTTGAGGTGTTAGGTAGGCCTCGCCTCCGCCAGTAGGAAGGGCATGCCATGCACATGCCCTTGATCTGGAACTGCAGGGAGCCTCCCTGCTCCCTGTGGGACGTGAGTGACGTTTCACTCCGTGTGCCAGCGGGCACCGCAGGGTTGAGCCTTTCCGGCAGGCACCTGCGTTAAACCCCCTGAAACTACTTCTGTCCCTACATAGGCGGTCTTTTAATTGTATTAATGGATTTGAAAAAAAAGGCATATTTTCTCCTTTTTTTTTTAATATAATAAAAGAACTTTTCAATTAACAGAAGATATCAACATTTCAATCATATTTTGTAAAATTTTTATTTAAAATAAAAATTAACATAAAATTTAATATAACAATTTTGAAAATTCAGCCAGCGCAGCGTGACTTTTCCATGACAGCTTTATCTGAAATCAAAAAATCAAACAGTGGTTCCGTTAGTTGATGCAAATGGCCCGTCCTTGAAGGGAGGATTTTCAAAAACATTGCAACTTGAGGGTCCGCTTCGATAATAAAGTTTTGACGCGAAAGAATATTTTCGAATATCTATCTGTCTAGATTGTATTTTGATCCATTTTTATGCACACACAGTCTTGACTTTACAATCACATCTTGGAGATAAATGCATTCGTGTTTTCGAGTTTTTCTATTTCAATGACACGCTAACGATGGGTGAAGAAGATTTTTTTATCTAGCTAGTAATGGTTATACTTAAGATTATTCTCAAAGTGTTGGAGAAGAAAAGGCGCCCTAACAGGTGTACACACATCATACATACATACATATATGTGTGCGAAGAGAAAATCTTGACGATCAACCACCGTCGCAACAGTATTACTAACGACAACAACAAGAACCATCTAATGATACCATTTATAGCGTCAGTAAATTAGAAAATCTTGTTGCGCTCACAGTTACAGATATCGCTTTGTTTGGTTATTGCGCTAAAAACGCATTTCTTTGAAACGAGAAACGCACATGCATTAATCATTTTTCGAGTTCAACTATTTTTAGAATGTCATTAGGCGACTAAACGTGACTCTTTTTGTGCAATTTACACAACCGGACAATTTACGTATCGACAAATGTGTGGCGGCATAAGAAATGATCTAATGCTGCTGCACTACGACGGCAAGCTAAACACATCATTTATAGTTTATTCTAAAATAGGTATATAAAACATACTCTCTGTGTATATTACTATTGCTATTGAATGCAAAAGTGTTAGCTTTTGGTGGGTGGGTGTGTTTATATATATATATTTATTTAGCATTTAAAAATCAATTTAAATGCATTTTCTGTAGAAACTGCAAAACTGACTGTGTAGGTAGGTTTACTTTTCTATCGATAAATGTCGGTCTTGAAGACTCGCAGGTTCTCATGTTAAATGCAGCAAATTGTTCAAATAATTGTCCAAGTTTTAGCAAATTTTTTAATAATTGTTGCAATTTTCAAATGAAAACAGAAAGAAAAATAGCAAACAAAATGTAACCAAGAAAGTAAAGGGCAACCAATAGTTGTTTTTTTCAAAAGATGGTATAGACGCGGCCAGCACTTGGATAGCTGCGAGCTATGAATTAAAAAAACAAACAAATTTATCGCATGAGAAATATTTTTCCTTTATTTCAAAACATTTTCATATGCATCACCAAAGGATGGGATGTATTCAGTTTGTCAAAGCGTTTGTGACACATAGAAATAATCCGCAACGTTCCCCCAACGCCAAAGAGTATCGAAATTTTATTTATTTTTTTTGTGTTATTCTTTTTAGGAAAAGGCAAGGGCGCTTACAAGATTCGGCCACAGCCAAATATATAGAATTTCTTTACATATATGAGGTTGTGATGGTTATCGCAGTAGTTTGCTTTTGTGGGAATATATAGCAAATCAAAACTATTTCGCAGTAGCCAGTGTTGTTTTTCGGAAAAGTGCTTTGAAGTCCCGACAATTTAATAATCTTTTCCATAAAAGCTGGATTCCACTTACCTTGAAATAATCAAACAACTCAGTTACTTTTTGCGGCTCAATTAATGGTTGTCACCTGCAGCAGTACTACATATACATCAATCAGAAGATTCCTAGAACATTCAAATCACCGTATGGATCAGTTGCAAGAATCGAACTTATCGTACTCAGAGAGCTATGAAATGTACAAAAGAAGTTACGACTAGATTCATAGATCTAGATTAAAATTTGCACTTGCAATATTGATTAGCCACTAGACCAAGTGGCACGTATTAAGGCGTAAGACCACTGTAAATTTTTCAAAAAATCAATTTTCTTTTATTATTGGCCTAAATGATCTCTTATATAAGTCAAGAGTGACATAAAAAGACAATTGTCATTGATTTTTTGAATGGCAGTATATGACAGTATATGGCCACTGTAAACTTTAAATGCATTTTTCTGGAAGCTTGATTTTTTTGACAACGGCATGTACCTTAACTCCAACAAATATCATACATACATTTCGTTCCAATTTTTTACAATATCTTCAAGAAAGTATTCTCAAGTGAAAGGCGTAGAATATTTTCGATAATTAAATCCAAATAATGTTTTATCAACAAAACAGTGCCATTTTCTTTGGTGAAAGGCTGAGCTTTTCCTTTCAAATATTCGCCGTTCAAACAAAAATCAATATTTCTTAGAAAGTCCTCCTTGTGTCACTAGGTGTGGGCATGTCGATTAAATGAATTTTTTTTCTTTTAAATCAAATTTTGATCAGTTGCATTGCGTGCCACAGAGCTCCTTAAGGCGATAACGCCTCGCGAGAATGGCTGCGGTGTTGCCATTTTTAATATATTTTTTAAAAATTATTTTTTTCTTTCGTACCTACCTAAGCTTATAATCCTAATATCATCGGCAAATATTATTATATATTCCATTACCTCTCCTTTTATCTCAAAAAAAAAAATGTCCCAAATCCTCTTCTGTGAGGCTGTTATAGAGCAATCCTACCTCTTACCCCTTATGGCACATGTTTAGAAGTTGCGGCTGAAAAAAATACAATAACCTTACTTCTGAGCTCCTCTGAGCTCCTTTCTGATAAAATCGCTTCTCATCGCTTTGAACCCATCGCAATTGCGGATGCGTCGTTTAGACAATCAAACCTATTTTCTCATCGAATTTTTGAATGGAAAATATTTGCATCAGGTTATGGATTAATGTCTGACAATAGCTAGCGCTCTTTTTGTATGGACAAAGCTCATTTTGTATTAGATTTTTAAGTGGCCCTGGCCCATATTTAATATCTGTTAAGTTTTCGGTATGCTCCATCGGCTCACATTGTGTCTTTTGCACTGACATGCACTGGCATGAAAATCATAATCTCTGAGCATAGTGAGGATGACAACAAGCTTTAGTAGCCTTCTTAAGCTCACATTTAATGCAATCTTATGCTTGATACTCTAATGTTCTGTGTCTTCAACTAAAATATCACCAAGAATGCGAATTTTTCTAAATTTTGTCCAATCGAAGTTGCTTCTATATTTGCTTTTGTCCAGTTAGTTAGTCAATCAGTTTAGCATAAACGATTTTTCTTTAATATCAGCTTTTTCTCTCACACATACGTCTTGATGTTTGGTGATTTGCTTAAAGATTCAGAATGTGAATAAAACAAAACCTAAATTTTTTCGCTCCATATGTGGCACATGATAAATTACAATTTTCCACCTGCGATTTTATTATCATAACGTCACACATCGATTCGGTCATTTTAAATCGGTGTCTATATAATTGAAATAAGTGTTAAACGTTTTTTTAAACAATAGCAGTCACCATAGCAGTATCTCATGATTTCTCGCATTTTAACACTGGGATGGTGCCGTTTGGCTTTATAATTTGATTAAATATTCGGTTTTCCTCTTTGGTCTTTTTAAAAAAGTATCACATGAAGTCATGAAAACTTAATAATATCAAACATACTAGTAGCGAGTAACGAATTAAATTTTTTAATCGAAAAACGCATAACTTTTATGGTACAAAGTTAAATGTTGATGGTGTGTAAACAATTTCGTTTTTCTTCTCAACTCTTCTTTATAGATCATGGAGCGATTTTAACGCATGATACGGAACAGTTTATAATTGGCCAAAGAGTCTGGGTTGGAGGTATAAGACCTGGGCAGATTGCCTATATCGGCGAGACACATTTCGCACCCGGCGAATGGGCCGGTGTGGTATTGGATGAACCGAACGGTAAGTAGATGAATTTGCCATAAATTGCCGTTGAGAGGTTATAATAGTTAACAAAAAAAAACAAAAAAAAAAAAGGTAAAAACGATGGTTGCGTGGCCGGAAAACGTTACTTTCAATGTGAACCGAAACGAGGCATATTTTCACGTTTAACACGTTTAACATTGAGCCCATTGCCCGGAGCACAAACACTGGCATCGCCGTTGCAAAAAAATTCGCCAGAACGTTCACGTACAGTCTCACCTACCGCAAGCACACGCAGCTCCTTTTTACGCATCCCGGGCAGTAAGTCTGACATATTTATATTAAAAAAAAATCACACATAAAATCCGCATTTATTTCCTTTCTTCCCCTATCATTCAAAATTGATATTTTCAAAACATCATTCACGATAAAAAGAAAATGGTTTAACTGTGGGTGATCGTATTATTGTGTCTTCCGGCTTTGGAAGCCGGCCTGGTATTTTGCGTTATCTTGGCGAAACACAATTTGCTTCGGGAAATTGGTGCGGCATAGAATTGGATGAAGCAACCGGTAAAAATGATGGCTCTGTGGATGGCATTAGGTTGGTTTGCTTTGATCAAAATATAATTTTTCATCTCTTAAATCAATTTCTCGGCAGATATTTCGAATGTAAACCTAAGTATGGCGTTTTTGTGCCAATCGCAAAAGTTTCGCTGTCCCCGTCATCGAAAAAGACTCGTCTCTCCCGAACGGGATCGCGTGAGTCATTAACTTCAGTGGGCACTTTTAACAGCATTGCTTCCACAAACACCTCACGTTTACGCTTGAACTCTCAGGTATAAATAAATCGCTTTGCTAGCGCCGTTATCGTTATCGCATGCATATTCAAAAGCCAAGTTTGACAACCATTTTCGATCGATGATTAAATTGTTCAAATTGTTTAATTGAAATTTTGTTGTTTATTTGTGTTTAGTTCTTTATTTATTTATTTATTTGTTTTTTTTTTTTTGTTTTTTCTCAAATATTTTCGTTGTTATTATTATTATTATTACTATTATTGTTTTGAATTTCTTGTCAACCAACTAACATTTTAATAACCCATTAACCTTTTCAACTGAATGTTTCTTTTGTCCAAGCAGCGAAAATCCCCGTCAGCCAAACCTGTTGTTGTAACCGCGCCAAAAACTCAATTTTCTATGCAGGTATGCTACTCTTAATACATATGTGCATACATTTAATTCATCAATGCCCGAACACCCACGATATCTCTCGTTTTAAACGCGCTCTTATCAATATTTACACAAGTGAAACATTTCGTTTTATTCTTGTATCGATTTTCCCTTGACTTCAGTCTTTCTTTACAACCTATAGAACTTGAATTTGTTTTCAATATTTGTGTCTCCGATATTCGTAGGGTTTTCTGGCAAATTGTTTTACTTTACCGCTCACTCACACTTTCATACATAAGCATAAGAATATTTTTATTCCCCTTATATCAAATTTCATTTTCCCTTATACCCACTACCAGATAATTAGCAGAAACTCTTTTGTCCTTTCGCGGAAAAGGTATAAAACTTTTAGAGTCGTCCTTGCTTATGAAAAGGCGAGAAAAGGATAAAAAGTTTGAAATTTACAACATTTCCTAATCTGTTGTAGGAAAATCTCCTTATCGGCCGATGCTGACATTGGTCGAACGGCAGTCATAACTCTTCCATTTATTAAATCCACCATCGAAAACCGGGAGCTTAGTACATCCCATGCATTCTTCAACGACTCAAGCCATTCCCGGTTTTATTATTCGAAATCTCAGGTCCGCAAAAAGTGAAATATGAAAACGTTTTACTTGATAAGAACAGAAAATGACTCCAAAACCGGGGAAAAAAAACTAAAAGGCGAACAAGAAATGAGCTTACAAGCTTCGATGGACATCGATTAGAAATTAGAGATGCTTAGTTACATAACGGAACAACCCAAAAGTTAGTTTATTAAAATCGAAGCCGGTTGATTTTGCAATGAGCTGCAAGTGAACTCTATTATCGAAGTAGTGGGTATCAAAGTTTCGCCATAAAACGTTTATGTAAATCTATCTTGCTTGCTTTGCTTATCTGATGCATTCTTCTTTTCTCTTCTTTTTGTTTTTTATGTTTGGTTTATAAGGTTTAAAAATAATCCTAAAATATTTTTTGAAAAATTTTTATCGTACTGTTCTTATGCCTTTTTGTGAATTTCATGTATTTAATTTTTATTATTGTTAAAGTTCATGTTTGTTTCCTTTCCTTATGTATGTGTAAATAAAGCGTAATACCTTGCTTTTTTTTTTTAATTTTTAAACTCGCACGTTTTGTTTTATTTATATATTTTTTTTCTTTTTTGTATCCACCACTTGGGAATGTGAACGTTTTAGCTCTTCGTTGTTCTGATTTTATTTAACAAACCCTGCGATTCTGTGTTAATTTGAATACATCCACTATTCATAGCGTCCGACTCATGTATCACTCTGCCTGTCCGTCCGTTCTCCTATTTGGACTTCAAAGTTAGTTGCATTTCGATTGAGAAAGCTCATCGAGCTGGAAGTATAGAATAGCACCGTTATACATAAGCCTACATTTTGGTTAAAATACTTTTTCATTGACCCGATTATCGATAGTTGAAGATATAGACAAACTCGCGAGAATGGACGAAGTTTTACCGAATGCTTTACTTATTAGTAGCTCCCCCGCTTAGAATCACTTTAGTGAACGGAGCCTTCAACACGACAAAACAAGTGACGCCATTCTGAATGTCGTTTTCGTACGTTCGATTTTTAGCGGCGCGTGACTAGAAAGCACCCCGAACCTGGGGTAAGCGACATTAAACCCAAATTTCAATAAGTCATTCAATCCGACGTCATACTCGTTCGGAATCCATTGCTTGTCATAAATTCTTATATTTTCTCCTGCTCATCAGAGTGCATCTTGACCATTCACGTTGCTCACTTTTCGATTTCTTGCATATTTATTAAGAAATTGCGTTAAGTTTGATAGTTTTTTCACTTGAAAAAGACTTTCATTGCGGAAACTTGGTATAATGTATATTCAACAAAATAGGTTCTAGCATTTTGTAAAATATTTTTGGCGACATAGCGATATCGCGTCGAAAAAAGTTATATTGGTGTGCCAGCGATACATCCACCGACACATTTCTGCATTTTTTCAACTTTACGGAGCAGCGTGCCAGCCATTCGATGCTGCACCGATCTGAACAAGTGGTAATCAGGAGCCGTCTAGTAAGCACGCTGGGTGTGGCAGAACTTCCGTTCCGAGCAGCAGCAGTGTATTCTCTTGTAACAATCGGCCAAAAAACTGGCATTTGCAGTAAATTCGCGTCGGCACTTTTAATCCGTTGAAACCAAAACCGACAATTGGGATATGATGGAGTAGCATCACCATAAGCCTTCGGCAGCAGATTTCTCCAAATAAACAACAAAAGTAATGAATTTGGGAGAAGAACAATTTTGAGCACTCCTTGACTAGCGTCGGCGCATGCCGAATAAATCAATAATACTAAAAGAGTAATCGAAACCATCGAATTCACCGTTATGTGCATTAGTATTTCGCATTTCTTCATAATTTTTTTCCGCAAAAGTTTCCTATCAAAATTAACGCAACCTCCTCATATATATGTACTTATGAATTATATGAAACTGATTGAATACTTCCAAGAATTTGTAGATCACCCCACTTTTAGGCAGAGATGCCTATCAGCTGCATGGGGCGAAGCTGAGTGATATTTCCGCCTTATCTATAACCTAAATGTATTGCACTTATAATGGTCAGTTAAGGTCAGAGGCTGACTTAAATCTCAGCAGAAAAGTTCCTTCAATCAATCGTCAACTTTAATGGGTTACATTTCGCACTTAGGATTTTTTTTTTCCTCATAGTGGTGGATATATCGGATTCGTCTCAAGACGAATATAACTTACTTACTTATATATGCTATAAGTTTGGTTTCTCTTTGGTGCTCTTGAATATATTTGGGATTTTTTAAATATTCTGTTAAATATATTTCCGCATGTGTTTATATGTAAATAAATGGTCCCCACTTGCTAGTTTACATTTTCCTGTTTAAATCGGAATAAATTATGGCAAAAAAAAAAAAAAAAAAAAACAATCAAGCAAATGTCCAATATATAACTGATGTATATATAATGTTACGTATGTAGATAAGAAATAAAGCTTTTTCTTGTTGGGCTATCTATATATGCGAACCTTCAAAATCAAGGTTGAACACGCACATGAATTATTATGCAAGTATGGAATAAAACACTATTTGATTTTATTAAAATTTTTTATGATTTTCCCAAACAGGATCTGCTGCGTGAGAAGCAATCGCATATTGAGCAGTTAATGATCGAACGCGATCTGGATCGTGAAGACTCACAAAATCAAGCCTTACAATATCAGAAAAATATAAATGAGGTAATTACCAACTACAGTGATATCACATATCGACCAACATCAGCATTAAAATCACGACTATTACAAACAACAACACTATTACCGTCTCGATCAACTAGATTGACATATAGCGGCGAACAAAGACGCCCGCTAACTACTATAGTACCTTCAGTAATAAAACGATCCTCATTGACTCAACGTTCTCAAATGCGTTCACCGACCGTATCGTCCACAACTGGATCTGCTAAGAAAGTTTGGTTTTGCGATCAAAAGAAACAATACTTTCCAACAAGATTATAAGACGAAACAAGATAATCGATATATACATACTTGTGAATGTTCCCAATTTGGCTTATAATCAATCGATTGTTTAGAAATTCCTTTCCTTTCCTTTATTTTTTTTTCTTTTTGCTTTCATTGAGAAGAACTCTCTTGGGCGCTCAATCGTTAATTTTTCATTTCGTTATAACAAAGTTTGCCATTTAACATTTTGTTTTATCGTTTTATTGGGTTATTATTCCATTTTCTTTATCTTTACCTTTGTTAGCATTTTTTTTTTCTCTTTTTTTTTTTTAAATCATTTTTGTTGTTACTTGTTACTGGTGTTTTAACTTTTGCTAATATTATGGTGTTTACCTAACACAGAAAACGCAAGAAAATAATCTACAATTTCATTGAGTTTTATTATGCCCACAATCCGAAGATGTTCTCTTCATGTACAACTTTCATTTGTTCTCTTGATATGCTCTAAAATATTTAAATATCTAAGATATGTAAACAGATTGTTTGAGTCATGTCCGTTTTTGTCTTTCTGTCCGCCTTTTAGAATACTGAAGCCTATTGTAGGAAAGTGGAACCGCATATAACCAATTTTTCTTAGAATTCTAAATGACAGAAACAATCATCCCTTATATACAATTTAATTAAACTTGAAAAATATGCTAAATAGATGTGAGAACCTTTAGCCCTTTTATCTGGTCATCTATTCTAAAAATTGTGAAAAACAAGTAAGAAGAAAAAACTGAACGCGTACATAGTCCAAGTCAAATTTCAAAACTTACTAGCTACTAGAATTTTCTAGGCTATAAATAAACAGCTGAAAATAGGTTAATTTATTTTAAAAAATGTGCGAAATTCGCCTGCGATTCTATATTGGCTTAAAAATGACCCTCTGTCTTCTCCACGGCTGGCTGTTGTTACAAGCTTAGAAGTCACATGGTCTCAATTGTTTTGGCATCTTATGCCTAGTTCCCATATATCGCGACGTGTAAGGCAATCTCACTGGAAGGAAGGCACAGAAAGGTGTAAAGTGGACTCAAATGTTCGAAGTAAAGTTTATAACGAGTTAACATACTATCGACAAGCTGTGTGGATATCCTACACCACTTTGCCCAAAACATTCCCGTCAAATAAAAGCTGCTTGTCGCCTTGTAAACGCTTACTTTCCATAAGAATCATTTTACAAGAGCGGGCCCAACATTTAATCTACGAAGTTTGAATTTAGTAAAATTAATTGTCTTTTCTCATAAAACATTAAAAATTGGTTCTTTGTAGCCATTTAAACTCCATTCTTCATCAGTTCTCTTATTTGGGAAAGGGGTCCGAAAAAGACACTTACTGAGTTTAAATGCCAAGCCGTTATTTTTTTAATAATTTCCAGCTTAAAATACTAAAAGTTTTTTTTGATAAGAAAATTTAGAAGGAAAAGGTTTAAAAGGGTTGCTCCATTCCAAACGTGGCTCATTTAATATCTGAAAATATGGTTTTTCGCCGAATTTTGTTGAGCAATGTTAAAGATGGAAAATTGACTTTCTCTTACTTGGAAAGTAGCCATTAAAAATGCTCCTATCAAATCCGTCGCCCTTTAGCTATACAAAATTTAATCAAAATATCTCAATAGGCCAACGGAAAGACCAACGGAAAGACAAGGCCTTTTTCCTAATCGATTAGCATAGCATAGAGCATTAGAGATGCGCCTATCTCAAGGGTGTACTGATGTGGTGTAGATTTTAAATACCTTCATCGCTCCGAATCAACGAACTTAGTGTGTGCCTAACAAAGTTGGCGGAAGACTCCTACTTCCATAAATGTACTTCGGTTTGTGGGTATTCTAAAATTCGCCTCAAGGTGAATACAAATTTTTTTATTCTTCACATTTTTAATTGTACACGATTTTTCATTTAAACGCAGATGCATAAAATGTTCTAATTTTTTTCAATTATTGCAATATTAATATATTTAAAGTGTTAATAATTTAATGATCATTCAGCGATGCGATGGCACAGATAGAATGCATAAAACTACAAGCGTGCTTTACTTTCTCATACTGCATGTTGCGCATAGGATAGATATATGCATCAAAATTATAAAACACATGTCATTGCCATTAAACATATGATTAAGATTTCTGCAGAAAAAATTAAAAATTATTTATTATTAAAAGATCGTTAAGCATACCGAGCACTTACTTAGTAACGTGTCGTTATTTGCTATCTTTGCTATTTGGGGCGTGAGCAATTTCCATCTGTGTCTTCGTTGTTGTAAATCATGCTATTAAGTCCAATAATAATAATAATAGTAAAAAGTAAGCAACATTAATAAAAATGCAAAAAGTAAAAAAAAAAAAAAAAAAAAAAAATTTTTCATTTTTTGCTTTTGCATGTCTGGCAAAATTATAAAACAAATGTTTTATGTTTTTATTACCATCAAGCTATGGTCATTATTTCCGCACTTAAAAAATTGGTTAAAGGCCGGTATTTTATCTTCGCCGTTTGATGCATGCATGCATGCGCACATACCTTCTTCTGTCTGTGTTGCTTTCACTATAAATCATATAATCAAGTCTCACAATAAATCAGCTTTGATGTCTATACAACGAAGGTGTATTAAAGCAAATACTTCCCGTAAAAGCATACGACAATCATTTAAATCTCAAAAAAAATTCGTTCAGAACAACAATAATATAATAAATAAATATTTTTATATTTATTTATTTTTATATTTATTTATTATTAATAACATTAAATAGCATATTCATATAAATAATCGTATAACGAGTAACAGCTAGACGTTCTTCTAATATTTTTAATCCTCTTACGACGCAACAACATAACAACATAAGCTATTGGCTAACATTCCAAATTGTATGATTGCATGTAATAATCAGTAATGAGTGTATTGAATGTCATCTGCTTACTTTTATAGTTAATACATGTTTACTTGTAATAACTTGTAATATATAAACACTTACGTGCTTCATGTCAATGTTACCGATTTTCGAAACATACACAAATTTCTCAATTAAATGTAATTTCGAAATGTGACTAATTAAAAGCGAAACCAAAAAAAATTCATATTAAATTAGATATTAGATGTTACATACGCTACATTAAAAATTCATAGATCAGTTACAGGAAATTTTCAAATCGTAGACGGCAACCCATTCAATTACAGTTATGTTGAAAACTTTTCAAAACAGTGTAAATAGTTCGTCAACTTTTGCTTGCCGATCCACAAAAAGACTCCAAATGTATAATAAAAGTAACCTACTACCGTCCTATACTACAGGCATGGCCCAGGAACCAATTGAAATCAGTTTCGTCAAATCAACAAAAGCAAATGCTAAACGTTGAAAGTGTCCTGCTCCCAAAAACCAGAACCGTATAATCAACTTATATTTTACCATGAAATCAGATTCCTTAGGGTTTTCGCCTATACAGGGCCAGAAAGCCAATTTTCACTGCAATCACTGTCAAGTTAACTGGGGAAGAAAACATTCCGCAACGGTTAAGTATCGCTAGCTTGCTAGGCGTGAAGTCACCGATAGTTTTCTCTTGTTTAATTACCAATATTTTTGCACAAGCTATATACTGGTAGAAGATGAACAAAAAGCGTGTACTAACACCCGCAATCTTCTTTCTTAATTCTTGATTTAAAAGATGTAAAAAAACCTTTAAAAAACCCTACCACGCCCTACAATCATTCATACAACACCTTTTTAAAAAAGCTTTATGGGGGAAGGGATCGGAAAAGTAGTCCGGCTCGACAGCCCGACGGACAGACAAGCTTAGACCTACGCAAAATACGATTTTGAATCGACCGATATGGCGAAAGACGAGTCTACCTCAACTCCTGCTGGGACTTCGCCACAAACTCAATGTGCCCTTGCACCACAAGTGGTTTAGGCAAAAAAAAGGAAAAATTGTTTTGATTATTGGTGAAAATTATCTATATTTCGAAAAAATTTGACCAAAACTGCTTAAAAAATCGTTAAAAAAGAAAAAATAAACCACGCCCAATATATGCATGTAATAAAGACGTGATCCCTAAGCAATCTTTCTCCTTCAAGCCTTTTGGATGTCAATCCTGAATATTTCACACTAGATTTATGGACGTTTTGTATACACCGATTTTTACCGAAACTCGCCAATTCGATGGGTAACTTTTGTGAAGCGGCCCAGGCCTAAAACTATAGATAGAAAGGTGAAATTTGTCAGGAACATTTCCTGATCGAACTGCGCACATGCGTTCGATTAAATGGTTAACAAGTTGGGAATAAATTGGAATTAAAATGTAATCGGTATTTGTGAACTGATCGAGACAATTTCTTTACCCAACATTCAGATAGTCCTGGCGAATACTCGGGTACCAGTTTTTGAAATTTGAAAAAATTGTTGACGTTTTTCGAGGTTGCTTTAGTTTTTTTTTACACTCTGTGCATGTATCTAAACGGATTACGACAATTTTTTGAATTACATATTCCCAGTGGACCAGGGAACATATGTATCAATGTTCAGCTTCCCATCTTTAGTTTTGCGATTCGCCCGCCACATTGATGGGTTCCAGTAAAAATAGATATACCTTATCCAGAACTAGCAAAGTGGGCGTGTCTCGGCAAAAAAGGATTGGAAATATATATTTGGTGTATTAAAGCGTTAAAACTGCATATATAATATCTAAAGATCCTTAGAAAAATTTTTTGAGCTTGAAATCGCAAACCCGTGAAGTGGATGGAAGCCTTAAATTTGGTTTTAAGAGATCAAAATGAAAAGAAAAAAGAATCAAAAAAAATTTGAAAAAGTAAATTTCCATCTTCCCAGTAGAAAACTCAAAACACTCCAACCATCCATAGGAGAAATGCTTTATCGCAATTGTCCTCAAATAATCATCGCGTACGAGGCATTGGATTAGCAACGTTCCCATGTCCTAATGCTTTACTAGCTTTTAAATTCGCTATGAATTAATCTTAGCTCCCGAATTCACTTGCAGGTATCTTACGCTACCATAACCTTTTAAATAATTATTACCCCTACGACAAGTAACTGCACTTTTCTAAAATTCAACTGAATCCATTCATTGAAATTATGTTTAACGAACATCGGTAGCAATGTGAATAAATATTTTTGTTTAGATTGATGAAAAGTTTTAGAGAAACATTCTTAGATATATATATATATATATAATCGACAGATACTTTCTCTCACTATTAGTTTTTACTCTTCGGAAATCTTGGATTAAGTGATTTTCTTTTATCGGATGAATTATATTAACATCAAGGACTTGTCTTATATTTAAGCATTTGTATATGTACATGTGAATGATTAAAATTCAGTTAAATTATATCTATAAGAAGCTGTATGCTTGCACCCGCTTATACTTATGCAGACGGTTTAATTGTGCTTTTATGTATATGTTTTTATTCAAATTGTATAAATCTATCAATAATGAACTCATCATAATGGCGATTGAAATTTTCTATTTATTAAGTTTTTCTTTTAATGAAAGTTATTAAAAAAATGTGTTGCGTTACGTTGTTGTTGTAAATGTTAATGAATTTATTTATATATTTTATATATGTACATATGTATGTGTATTATTGTTATTATCATAATTCAATTGTTTTACTTTTAACACATTTTTTTTTTTTTAATTTTTAAAAGATGTTTTTTATCTTAAAAAGAAATAATTGCACTATGAATACCCATAGATGATATTAGGTACAGTGAAGTGCAACCAAATGGGAACCTCCAAACACGACATATGACGAGAATTAATTATTATTAAAATTTGAGATTTAGGATTTTACATAAGAGTGCATCTAGTCGAATTGCTTCTTCTTCTATAAAACGATTCTTTTACGCCTTGGATGGCATATTGTGTCTGCGCGTTAACAACATCGCATTGCATTCCCTTAATTTGCACTCAGCATGATACGATAGTAAATATTCTCATCTCTCCTCGTTCAAGCAAGCGTTTTTGAAAATGACAAATAAGGAATAGAGAAAGAAACAGAGAGAGGAAGAGAGAGAAAGAAAGAAAGAGAGACAGAGAGAGAGAGAGAGAGAGAGACAGGCAGTAAAAGACTTTGCTGACTTTAACGGGGCAATGAATGGTTTAATAGTTTGATGGATTTCAGATGTCAGTCATTGAATAAAGCAATTGAGCTAACAGTGAAATCCTTTGCCCCAAATGACTCTTGTTATGAATCAGCGCATGCAGTAAAATTAAGCCGGCCGCCTTTGATATCGATTTCGTTGTTTATTTGCTCATGTTCAAGGTTTTTATAAAAGTAATGATGAATTCATAAATTTACTGCCATTTGGTAATATATTTTTATTCCTTTCATTTTCACACTTTAAAGAAAATTTTTGTACTTTTGTATAAAACATTGAATGTTTTGATAAGAAGCTTAATTGATTAACTGGAACTAATTCGTGATAGAAAATGTAAACTAATAGGCCACGATATACCATTGAATAAGTTACACCACCCTACCCTATGTGTATTTGTGTAATGATTTTTCAAGATGTGGCGTTATAAGAGAAGTGATCGAAAAAGTGCTTCAATCCGAAGCATTTTCACCAGCGTTGATCATTGAGCCAAAAACATGTCGGTGTGCCAGATTTCATCAAAATATCTCAATCATGGCGATTTGTAAGTGGAACTCAAAAAAAGACAGACGGACAAACGGGCAGATAAGTAATTCTGAATCGACCGGCATAATTAAATGATCTGTTCCAAATCTTTCTGGATAAGGTAGACATTTGCACAAACTTAATATACGCTTGCAACGCAAGATATGTAGGGTATAAAAAATGGCAAAAAGAAAAAAAGTCATTGCCTGGCAACGAAAATTACTGTCAAATCAAGTATACATAATGTGGACATGCATCTGACATTTAAAGAATAAATTCAGATCGAAAAACAGAATGGAACCTACAAATATTACAAAATCATTGAAACCATAAAGAGAAACATATTTAGTTGGAAGTCACTGTACCTGGTAATTATTCATATTTATATCTATCTATCTGTTGTTCATATCAGATTTGTTGCTTTTGCTTTTTAAATAATTCGTATTCGTAACATATATTTATTTATGTAAGATCTTGCAAAAAAAAAAGAAAAAAAGAGGCGAAGAAAAAATGAAAAATCGTGTGCATTAAACTGTGAAAAATATAAGCAGGTGTTTAACGAGAGAACTGAACGCACTTGGAAAAGTTTGTTAATTTTTTTTTTTTGTTTTCTTTTTTCGAAACGCTTGTTCAAATGGTATTTCCATTTGGGTTGAAATAATAAAATAATTTTATATAAAATTTCTTTAATATATACATATATATATATATATATTATTTGTATATTCATATAGTTTATATATTTGTTTTCGCAAAAAAAAAAGAATTAATTTAACAAATTTTAAATTTATTTAAAAAAAAAAAAAAAAAAATTTAGAAAATTCTTATCGATGCTGAACGTTGGTCAAAACTTATCAAGCGACGTAATTTCCCTTTGTCTGAATTGCGTCGAGAATTCCGCGGTTGGACTGGTAATCATGAGAAACATTGCATTCTCCATAGCGTTCTTACACCTTTACGCATTAAATAGTACAAAGCGCCCGCAAAGCGTGCAAAAGCTTTTAAAACATGTCGGATGGTGCAAAAAATGGATATGAGACCGAACACGATCCCTACAAAGTCGTTGCTCTTATTGTGCTCAAAAAAACCAGAGAATATTATTTCTTATAACGAAAAACAATTAATTAAATTCTTTATACATTTTATGGTTTTTGTGAAACGATATGATTTATTACCTCTATATATCTCTTTCAAAACTTTTTACTCGACTATACCTTTTTTCAAAAAAAAAAAACCAAAACTTTTAAAAACAACTTCACCTTCACATCAATGCAGATATATATATATACAACTATTTATGATATAAGTGAATTTTATTTGCTTTTGTGGATTATTTTTTCTATTTTATAGAGAAAAAACAAAACAAAAAACACAAAAAAAAAATGTATTCAATAAATGAATTTGTTTCTTTACGATATAATATTAAAAGTGTTTTATTTTTTAGTTAAAAACTCGCGTCGTACATTTGGAACGTCAGTTAAAAGAAGAGCGTAAAAGGGCAGAAGATTTACAATTTTCCATAGATGAGGTCACATTCTGTGGCGATGAATTAAATGTAAGATATCCCTATAAGAAATTCATACAATTACTGATTTGATCGATTGTCTATAACGCGAATTTTCCCTTTTTTTTCACCCATATATGAGTTTGCGATAAAGTTGATCCGCTGGTTTACCTCAATTAGCTTAGAAAGTTAAAATTTTTTCTTTATTTGACTTCCTCGACTAATAAAGGTAAAAACAACCAATAGAAAAAAATATTTTTTTTTTATAAAAATTATCCAAATATTATCAGACGTTTGGTCCGTTTGATTGCAATTTGAATTAGAAAGCGTAAATATTCCAAGCAGGTTAGAGAAACGGTTGAGAAAAGGTTTCCTAAAGTAGAAAAAGTGAAAAATTTTTTTAATGAAATTATTTAAGTATATTAGTCGACAATATAACGCTTATAATAGATAGTACAGACAAGTGTGCGAAATGATCTGAACAAAGTAAAAAGCTGATAATAGAATTAATAATTTGACAGGAGGAAAAATATTAAAAAAAAACTCTTGTTCGGCTTGGAACGATTTATTTTATACTCACCGTCTAAAAAGATTATCATAACCAATTAAAATTAATACATGATACATTTTATCATTAATGAATATATATTACAATAAATAATAATAATGGTAACCAGCACAACAGCCAACATTAAGTCCCCTACCCCACTTCACATATAATGAATTTTCAAAAGTAGTTGTTATATGAAGAGTAGTCGAAAAAATGGTCCGACACGAACAATTTGTAATAGCATTCATCCAAAATACGTCAGTGTATATGTTGAACAAAAGAAAACAACAGATGGACAAACGGACAGACAAGCTTAGATCGATTCAGAGAATGATTCTGAATAAAAAGTGGATCTATCTTAGGTACTTCTGGGTGTTGCGTACATTCGCCACAACTTAATATATCTCTGAACCTCAAGTAGTCCAGAATATAAAAATAATAATAAGAAAAAAAAAAAAACCAATAAATTACCATATTTACAATTATACGATATATGAAACCTCATTGAAAGATCTTCATTTGCTTCGTCTAATACTAAATCATTTCATGCAAATTCATAATTGTATTGAACTCCTCTCTTGCTAACGGCAATCGGATGTAAACCACTTGGCGAACGTCCAAAAGCTGTCTACACTGGTTAATTTGTTGACTTATGTAGAAAACACTTTGTATATATATATATGTAATATATGCCACCGTATTTATACGGATCGATATCGATATAGCGATTTTTTAATCTAAAATTTTCTTCACTTGAGAATTTGAAACGTTCAGAGCAGAGTTCTAAATGAGAAGAAACGGGAACTATTGCCTATTTTGAAAATTGTGCTTGCATCCTTGAACCAAATAGACTTTTGAACTGATCTTTTACCACTGAAAAAGGAAAAAATATGAGACCAAATTGTTTTTCTCTTCAAACTTTAGTCATAGAAATCCCACTTTTCAACAAGCACACAGGTGTGACTTAATTGATTAACGGAATTTATAGCGACTACAAACATTTTACAAATTACCTAAAATAGATGAAAAGAATTAAGCGTTTCTTATATAAGATTTCTGCATTATGAATATCAGAGGTTCATCGTCATATTTAATTTATTTACAATTTCGCCCTAACCGTGTGTTTCTCATGTTTTATTAACCTCGAAAGCTATTTAAGTTCTCATAGCGGAAAAAAAAACCTTTGAAAGAATTTTTAAAAGCTGAATAAAACGCTTCTTATATACCGGTTACTTTTCCTACCGGTTATTTTTCCCACTTTTCGAAGAAATTTACCGAAACAACAAGTAAAAACATAATAATTAACGCAGTCAGTCATATAACGACATTTCAATATAAGTAGTGGGAAGTAGTCGAAAAAGTGATCCGATCCGAACTATTTTCAATCAAAATATCTCAAAACTCGCGACTTGTAGATTGAAAGCGGAACATGGACCGAAAGAGGGATAAGCTCACACATAATAAAAAAAGTGATCTATAGCAAGTCTTCTTAGTTGTTGTATACGTCCACTTATCCTTAACAGATAGAAAAGCTCTTATTCGTAGATATTAGGATTCATCGTCGTCAACAACATTTACTGCAAGTTGGCATAGAAAATGAAAAAGTGAAAATGCACTTGTCTCACTTTCAAAATCAACGATCGGAATAGCCTGTACCCAGGTAAACTTCTTCAAAGATATAAAAAACTTTCAAATCATGGTTTTTTTGGTTTGACTCAGTCGCAATAGCAAAAAACTCAGCGTTTGCACAAAGCACTTTCAAACTCCATCTGTCGAACATTTCTTACGTCCCAACTTTTGTATCCCACACTACTTGTAAAATAGACCTTACTAAGTTTGCGCGGATGTATGTAACACCCAGAACAAAGTAAAATAGACCCACCTTTGGTTATCTCGATCGACTTATACTTGCCTGTCCTTTCAATCCTTTAATTTGAGATATTTTAATCAAATTTGATACATTGACGTGTTTCGAAGTGTGATCCATTCTCAAGTTCCATTAAATCAACAACCACTTCTCTTATATACATATATATATATATATAGTCCGGGTTACAGTATTTTAATTGATTGTATAAATTTGGATTAATATTTGTATCCTCCCGTATATAAGGGTTCTTACGAATATTAAGCCTTTACCTGTCCAATGGGACTCTATTTTTGAGAAAACTAAGAAAAAAATAATAAGATCATGTTTTCACACGGTGTCTTACTATTGAAGTGAGCACTCATTTGGAAAATGAACCGAACTTAACTTCCTTTTCAAAGGTGTTATTATTTTTCATACGCTATCATTCCCGCCATAAACTACCAGGTATTAGAGTTTGCTGCCATGTCCAGATTTGCTTCTCGTGAAAAACCTTTATCAGAGTAGACAGATAGATCCACATTCAATGTGTTACAAACGAGGATTATTTTTTTTTTTTTTTTGCTAATATGGACTAAGACTCATTATGAAATTTTAAAAATTGTACTTTTTTAACATGCAACGACTGTCTTTTTATATGAACGGATATGTGGGGGAGAGCTCAAAAATGGCATGACTGATTCAAATTTTTCACCCCAATTAAGTAGATTGAAATATTCATATTTAGCAAAGTTTATCGAAAAGTTTTGGAAATTGGCATTTTTCTTCAAGGTAAGGTGGCGATCGCTAAAGTGATCCCGCCACCCTCATATGATGTCTTTTCAAAATAAAGCTTTATATAGGAAATAATCGAAAAAGTGCTCCGATGCAAAACATTGTTAATAGAGACCAGTCTTGAGCCAAAAAAAAAAACCAGTTTTATTCTAGATTGCCGTGCACCGTACAAAAAAACCCTGCGTCTCGACTGCGTCGTCTCGGTTTTGACTCTTTCTTGGTTTTGGAGAGCACAACATATAACACACATTGCTCTCCATTTTATTAGAAACTAAATTTGGGATAAAGCGATCAAATCGGTATTTGTAAAAAGTAAAAAGTATATAAATATATCTTAGCATTTTCTAATGTGTACACATTTTTTACATATAGGCGCAGACTCAAGTCTACAAAGAAAAAATACAAGATTTGGAAAATAAAATCACCGACCTAAACTCAGGTATGTCTTGAAGCCGAACGAAAGCCGTTGAAGGACTATCACCTATATCATCATTTTTTCTTGTGTTCTAAAGTATTATTAAATCTTTTCTCTCTATACATACATTATGTTCAGTGAAATGAACCCCTTTTTTGTTGATCATAAAATGATCTTACTCTTAACTGTGATCGGAAGTAGATTTAAATTTTTTTTTGTTTTTTTTTTTTGCAAATCCAGGTAAACCTTCCTCCGAAGAGCTATTATCCATCACTACATCTGCCCAAGGACTACAAGAACAGATAAAGGAAGTGAATAATAAGTTGACAGCACAAGCCAAACTGCATGAAAATCAATTAAGAGAACTTAACGAAGAGCAACGGCGTTTACAGGAAAATATCAAATATTTACAACAACAAAATGAAGATTTGCAAAAAGAACTTGTGCTTAAAGATGAAAGCTTGGAGAAGTTCTCTCTGTCGCAATGCGGTATTGAGAATATGCGCAAAGAATTGGATTTACTTAAAGAGGAACATGAAAAGGAACGAATACGCATTAGGGAAGATTACAATTTAAAACTTGAAGAGAAGGCTTTACTAAATCGACATTTATCCGAGGAAATAACAAATTTAAAGAATATTAGGGAATTACAAGAAAATAATCGGGCCAGAGTAGAAGAAGAATGCAGGCTATTGCACGAAGATTGCAAAGCTCGTAACACTGAAATAGATAATCTTAACGAGAAGATAGCGAAAATGTCATCAGAGTTGGCGATGCGGAAAGCTGATTGTTTCACATTAGAAGAATTGCTCAAAGCTCAACAATCAGGCAATGCCGAGGAGAGGTCGTTATATGAAAAACAATTAATGGAAGTTGCCGAACTGAGAAAAGACATCAAACGGCTTATTGATAAAAATTCTAAACTCGAAATACATATTCAAAATCAAAATGAAGAATTAAAAAATCTGAACGAAATTAAAGCCACCATAGAAACTAAATTATCGGGATTAGAAGAAGAAACCGTGAAGACTGTGCAAGCTTTGGAAGCAACTTTAAATGATTTTCAATCAAAAAACCAAACACTCATTCAAGCAAATGAAGAACTAAACAGAAGACTGGAAAATGTTACGCAAGCCCTTGAAGATGAAAAACTATGCAAAGAAAGCCTTTCAGCCGAACTCAAGCAAAAGGATGCTATAAATTTTAAGACAACGGAAGAATTAACCGAAAGTAAATTTGCAATTTTACAAGTTCAAAGTCAACTGGACGAATTGAAAATCACATCTGACCAAGAGCTTGCCAGGAAAGGGCAAGAAATTGAAAGACTAGCGAACATTGTGGAAATTTTGGAAAAGAAAAAAACAGCACTAGAAGACGAATCTTCTACAAATATTCAACAGTTAAGCGCCAAGACGATGAGTTTAGAAAAGCAAACTAAAATCTTAGAAGACGATTTAAAAAAGTCAGCTGTCATGATAGACGATCAACGACAACGCATTGCACAGCAGGATGAAATCATTAAAGAAAAGTCATCGGAATTGCAAACAACTGTCGCAGCCCTGGAGACCCTATCCAAAGTTATGGACAAGCTGAAAGAGGAACACGAAATTGCGGTAAATCGGAAAAATGATATCGAGAAAGAATTGAAGAAAAGCGAAGAGCATAAGGCCCAAAATGAATTAAATATAGGCGATCTAACTCGAAAACTCGAAACCTCTACTAACAAATGCGAGACTTTATTGTCTCAAAATGAAACTTTGCAACAAGATTTACTTGCTGCCAGATCGTCTTGCTCGACTATGCAAACCGAAATGAAAAAACTAAAAGATGAGATTATTTCGAGGCAAGATGATCACTCAACTTTAGAAAATAAAGCCGTTGAAGAGCGCATGAGAATGCAAGGACAAATTGAAGAATTACAACAAACACTTGCATACAAGACGAAGCGTTGCGATGAACTTAACGAAATTATACAAAAAGGTAAGGAAGACCTCGCAGCAAAAACGCAAGAAGTCAATCAATTAGAAGAGAAATCTATTAAACAAGAACTTACGATAAAGGATCATCAAAGGCAACAAGAGAATTTGCAAACAAAATATGAAGCCTTGCTGAAGCAAAATGAAAGCCTGCAGAATGATCTCATTGTTTTAAGGACTTCAACTACAGATTCGAATTCTGAGCTAATGAAACTTTCACAACAAATTGCAGCGCAACAAAAAGCTTACGATCAATTGCTAGATAAGGGAAATTCTGAACATAGCCTCTTAGAGAGCCAGTTGCAAGCTGGCCAACAACGAATAGATACACTTTGCAATCAAGTAGAAGTTTTGACTCGGGAACTTAAAGAAACCCATGAAGAAAATCTTAAATATGTAGACCTTTTGAAGGAGGAGCAAGCAAAATGCGGTAAACAAGAGCTTGAACTAAGTGATCTTACGCGTAAATTGCAAAGTTCCAGTGCAAAGTGCAATAATCTTGATGCTCAAAACAGTAGCCTGCAGAACGATTTAAGTCTTTTACGTGCCTCCTCTTCCGATTCGAATACAGAGATTTTGAAATTTACCGAAAAGTTAGCCGCAAAACAGAAAGCCCTGCAGCAGCTTGAAGATAAAGCGAACAAAGAGCGTCATTCCCTGGAGAATCGCGTTCAAGAATTACAACACACCGTAGAAGTTCATCAAGCAGAAACCGATAGCCTGCGCAGCAAACTAATCGAATTCGAAAATTCAAAATTATCGCTAAGCAGTGAATACGAAAGCATGAAAAATGAATTATTAACCAAAGCACAAAGAGATCTTGAGGATTTAAAGGCTGCAGAAGCTTCCAAGCAAAAATATCTTAGCGAAACTTTTGAAACGCAATTAAAGGAAGCAGAGCATCATAATCATACGCTCAATGAAACACTTGCCACTTTCCAACAACAAATGCAAACATTACAAAATGAATTACATAATGCGCAGACGGAATATAAAGCGAAAGAGGGGGAAATGCAAAAACAACTTGAGACATATCATACGGAGAAGCAACAGTTAATGTCACACTTAGAGAAGACACAAACCGACGTGAAACATTCTGTTAAAACGTTACAAGAGGAAAAGTCGCATTTGCAAGAAAATGTGCAAAAACTCACTTACGATTTACAAGAGAAGGCAACTGCCTTGACGCAAGCGCTTCGTGAAATCGAGCAAAATCGCGTTTTAAAATCCACTACCGATACTCAGCTCGAAAAGGAAATAAAAAAATTACAAGACAACTTAGACCAGGTAAGTGGCGAAAGTGAACAAAAGACTAACTTACTCGAGGAGAATAGGAAGAAGATTGATCAATTGATATCGATGTTAGAAGCCATGAGAGCTTCGAATGCGAACATATCAGCCACAAATGCGGAATTATCTCAAGCATTAGAGTTACTGGAACAGGAAAAATGTGAGACAGCCAATATATTCGAATTGTTCGAAATGGAAGCGGATCAGAATATGGTTAAACTTGTTGAAAAATTAGCAAGCTTAAAACAAGAATTAAAAGACGCCCGAGACCAGTTGCAACTTAAAAATACCCAAGCGGATAAATATGAGAAGCAAATAGCGGAAACGAATGAACGCCTAAACAAAATCGAGCAATCTTTTAGCGAGACACGTTCGGATTTATTGGGCAAAACGAACGCATTGGAAGAGCTGGAACGAGTGAAGAAAGAATTGCAACAGCGTGTCGACGAATTGGATATCAAAGCGAAACAAAAAGATGAATTACAATTACAGTTGGAAGAATATAAGAATATCGTCGACGAGATAGACGGTGTATCAACGGAAAAATCTACACAACTTGCTCAACTTCAAACGCATATTCAACAGTTAAGGGATGAAAAATATAAAATTGAAATCAATGAAAAATCGCTAAAATCGGAGAATGCAAACCTGCAACGTAAACTTGAAGTGATGGATTTGGAAAAGAATCGTGAGATAACAACATTACAAGAACATATCAGCCGATTGCAAAAGATCGAGAAATTAAAGCAAAGTGGAACAATTGGAGATGCCGGCCAATCGGTAGATAAAATGAAAATTAAAAATAATTACTTACAACTCTTATGCATTTATTTTGTTTTCTTTAGAATGAATCGAACATCAATGGCGACAATACGGCCCAAATTAATTTCCTTAATTCTATCATTATTGATATGCAAAGAAAGAACGATACTTTAAAAGCTAAAATCGAAGCTCTCGAATGTGTGACAACAGACTTTACCAAGTAAGCAATAAATATAATGTGTTCTAACCATGCCTTTAACGCGTTTCATTTATTTAGGCCGCATGCCTTCGATCTAATAGCAAAGCGAAAACCCGCACCTCGGGTATTTTGCGATATTTGCGATGAATTTGATAAACACGAGACAGAAGACTGCCCTCTACAAGCTTCCGATGATAGGCAGTACTCGCCGCCACCACGTGCGGAAAAAAATAACAATGATCCGGCCGGTAGGAAAAATCGAAAGATACCAGAGCCTCGCAAATATTGTGAATCGTGTGAAGGTATATCAAAAAAAAAAATACAATTTATATATATATATATATATATATATATATATTGTACAATATATATATACAATATATATTTTATATGTATATATATAAAAATATAAATAATATATATATAAAAAAAATATAAATATGTTTATATATACATATATATATACATATGATATATATATATATGAGAGAGAGAGAACAATATTATATGATTTATTGTATTTTGTTTAAATTTTAGTTTTTGGCCACGAGACGGGAGAATGTGACGATGAATGCTATTAATGTGCATACATAGGGAACATTTAGTTCAACAATTTATTTATATATCTAATCTCTTAATATATTTTTTTTGTTTTTCTTCGTATTCGTGTTATTTATGCCCCGATTTACCCCTTAAGGAGCGATAGTGTTTAATTTCTCCATAATTTTTTTTGTACACTTATAATAATGTTCCCCTTCCTTTTTTTTGCTTTCAATTGCCAGATAATTGAATTGTTATACATTTTTGTTAATATAAATGTTGCTTTAATTGTGTATCAACGAAACTATTATTAAACTTAACAAAAATATACCTTTGTATGTGTCTTAAGTAAAATTATTTAGAATTAAAGTAACCAAGAACAACAACAACAAACAAGCAAAAGGTGATTATTAAAGTATTAATAAATTCAAAGCTATTTTGTAAATATCTGTCTGCACCATTTTTTCGTTATAATCAAAGTAGGCTTAAAGTGGCAACAGAATGAAGGCTAAAGTGAAGATGAAATAAGTGAACAACAAAAAAAACTTATATTCTTCTATATCTATCTATATACTTTCATCCAAAAAAAAAAAAATATATTTCTTATGCTATAATGTAAGTGACCATAAGCGCTTTATTCTACTTTTGCACGGATGCTATAAGATCGGTTGTATAATATACGTGCAAATGTTTATGGTTTTTTTTGTTGTAGTGTAAAAATAACAAGTAACATGTAAAAATTGTTTTTGTTTTTGCTTTTCCCGAAGAGGCGGACATCTTTATTGCATCGCTTGGGCCACAAATATATATAAAGTTTGTATGAATGTATGCAATACCCAGAAAAATTTGAGATATACTCACTTTTCATTATTTTGATGGGTTTAGAAACATTTTCTGCACCGCTCTAATCTTATCCGTCCGTCTGCCCATTTGTTGGTCTCGTTTCTTTTTTTGCGTTTAACCTACGCGATCCAAGGAACGAACTTTTTCGACTGCTTCCCGTAGAACAAATTCTTTGAAAAAATCGTGATTGGAATAACTTTATTAAGCGGGTGATGTAGGGTACCCAAATATGAGATCGTGTATTACTGTAGTGGTTTTACTTGTTTTCAAATCGGTTCAAAATCTAATGCGCTGATCGGGGGTGTATATACTTATCTTGCTTTTAAGCGTTGTTTATCTATGGTATTTTGTTCTATCAATTTTCCCAAATTCAATTCATTCCAATTAAACAATTAACACATTCACACAAATAATTAAATATTTAGAAATTGAATTAGCCGTTAATTAAAGTTTATCCTTTAGTTGAGAGGTTGCCATCACTCAGTACAATTTCTATCTTTCCGCTAATTTTTCGACTGTCCAAACATTCACCTTAACCTAAAGTTTAAATTTTTAAAAATCAATCTGAGATAAGCCATGTTTCTCGAAAGCCGTCTTCAATGCGTGAAAAGCCCGGACAAAAAATGCATTAAAAGATTGAGAGATTTTGAAGTTAGTTTGGACCGGTGTCCGAGAATATCTTTGATTTCGGTAGACTATTTACGTACCGACGCACAGTAGAGGAAAGTTTTGCAGGGAACCTAAACCATTTGATTTTAATGTCCCCGTTGAACCTTCTGAAGTAATAAAATGGAACGTATTCCCCGAGCTGTTATTCTCTCAATTAATAATGTGATTCTTTTTTCCATGTTAGTTTTTTATTTGAATGTAATCCATATTTTAAACCGATCGAGGCCATAAAAATAAGTAAATTTTATATTTGACTTTTTCATCTTAAGAACTTTGAACGTTGAATTTGTTATTCTAAGGTGGCGAACAATTTCCTCTTTTCCTGCAGTTAATAAAACGCTCGTTTTTTTTTTTTTTTTGTTTGTTTAAATAATCAAATAAATATAGGCGATGTGTATTTACACATAAAATTGTACTATCAAATATGTAGATTTGCATCTGTATGTTTGGTAATAAATATAAGTTTTATAAAATTTCCTATAGAAATTCATTTTTCTACGCGTTTAACATTTTTAGCTCCTTTACGCGTCTTCGATTTAGCTTTGGAGATGGCTTGCCCCTTGGCTTTTTTTTGAGTCTTCTTTTGAGTCGTTAAAAAGAGAATAGAAAAAAAGACATTTATTTACTCCTTAGCGATTCGAGATCTAACGATAACATTAAAGATACAGGAAATCCAAATTAGGATTTTTTCAGGCAAATAAATCAAACGTTACAAATAAGCAATCAATAAAAGAAAAAAATTGCTCTGATACACATAATGTGAACTTCCTGCACGTATGCGCGTTGCCGGTATTCCTTTTTAAACTACTCCAAAAAGCTGCCTAAGCTCTTTTAAGTATTATAGCATTGATGAAATTCAACAATGCTTAACGAAGCCTTGCCATAGTTCTATGCATACTCGATTTCCAAGTTGTAGGTAGATTATTTGACGATTATTGTTTTTTTTTAAATATGTACATTCTTGTCTACTTTCTTCTATAACATATTCGGCTTATGGAACTTTTATATTCGAACCACTACATATCGAATTCTGTCGGCAAGGAACGAAAGCATTACTTTTTTTTTTTCTTTTTACTTACAAATTGATTTTTATCGATTTCTTCGAGTTTTCTTTGGATGTTGACGCGAAAGTATTCAACTTGTTCACGCATATCATCCCAAGCCACATATAAATTCTGTAGATGATCCTTTAAATTGTTAATAGTTAAATTAAGTTGTTCATCTCTCATTTCAAAGTTGTGGTTCCAGTATTGAATCTTTTCCTTATAATGCTACATTATTAACTGATTACTAAGAGCACGTAACATACATACATATATTGTTTCAGATCTTACCTGATTCTCAACATCGTAATAATCCAATGTATTTTGATATGTGTATTCCATCACTCTTGTGTTGTTTGTCCATTCAGCTATTTCTTTAAGTACTTGATTTTCATCAAACTTTGCTTTATCTTCGACAAATGGAAGGTGTGCGTCCATGTAATTTTTACATGTGCGATAATGTAACGGATTTTCAACTGCATTAGAATAGACAAAGCAATTTTATCTAAACTCGATCTTGTCGTAGACTTACTCATAAAGCGATTAAGTGTTAAATCCAAATTTCGCCTAACACCTAAGAAATGTTTAACGGACTCCATTTTGCTCTTCAATTCCTGTTGGCTCATTCCTAGTGTTATCTCTCTTGACTTTACGCTATTTGCTGCGTACTCTTCTTGCAAAGTTTCAAGAATATTGATTACTTTCTGGCATCCACTATACATAAATATGTTATTGGGAAGATAATTAAACATATATCATTCGATCATCATACTTCAGTTGTAAAATTATTTGATCAACTTCTTCAGTGCACATTTGATTGAGATATGTTTGCAAATTTTGCAGGTCGACGAGTAGTTTCGCTAAAAATAAATAAAATCCGTATTGACGACGAGAGTTTGTTCTGTTTAGCAGTAAAAGGGGTACCATTGGCTAACACTTCTGGCTCTTCGAAACGTAATAAATTCAATAAAAACCCATCTGCATTCATTAGGTTGTTAAATTCCTCCATACTCCACTCGTACAGAGTTGTTGGTGCCCTTACACATTTACAGTATTCGGATGCGTAGACATTATACTCCACCAGTTTTATGCGATCCAATGCATCCTGAACGTTCCACTTTAATGCCAGGCGCTTCGCATCTTCTTTCTTAAATACCTGAATTATACGCATTGCTTGGTAAAATATAAGCATATATGATGTTTAAAATCTTACTTCGGCCATTCGCTTAAACAAGCGGTCTTCTTCATTAGTAATAAAATTAGAATCTTTGTTCATTATGAAGTATTTATTTATCTATTCCTACAAGGAAGAAAATATATATTTTAAAAACTAAGCTGAAAAATTCCCTGCTATATGATATTGATAACAGTTGAAAACTGATTTATTTTGAAAGAACGTTGGTGACGTTTAGAGCTTTGTTTCTATTTTAAATCTTTTTTTCAAATGAAATTTAAAAACACTTTATTTATCGTTTAATCCCCTCCTTCTTTTTTCTCTTTGATAGCATCCTGGAAATTAATTAGAAGTCGGTTAGTATCAAAAAGAAAATTTCAATAATTTGATAGCTTTTACTTTAAATCGTTCTTCGAAAAGAGACAATTCCGCCAACAAATCAGTGATAGCATTCATGAATGCTTCGTGGGGCGAGCAGTCAGCTGTCGTTTGAATGCGGATAACAAACTTGTGTTCTAGCGGATGCGGCACCTTGTAACCAGCGAAAAGTACATTGGGATCTTTCAGCAATTGGCTAAAATATGGAAATGATTAAAGAAAGTTTTCCGAACACAACCATTTCATATGTTATACTAACTTTCTTATCATATTTCCTAACGTGTGATCTTCCTTGTTGACCGTAAATATTGCGGCATTTGTTACTTTTGTATCCAATTCTTTAATAATTCTAAAGAATGTGTTTGTTAATCATTGGCATATATTTATTACTGATAATTGTGATGGTCAGTTTGCTTACTTTTTCTCTCCTTCATATAGCAAAAAGGATTCAAACGTTGGCGGGGCGTTCATTTTTGATAGTTACTTCAATTTGGACAATAAATTTATATTTTATATTGCTTCTCCAACTTCGTTTTTGATATTTTACTGATCTATCATCATTTTAGAAATTGCGTTAGGAAGGTTGCCATATTTTGGAAATTTATAGAGGCCATATCGTTTCATTTAGAGTCAGCGAATTCTATATAAAACATGATGCATAAAATGTTTGTTCGCCTCATTCGTCAGGCCGCAAATAAGACCATGCACAATCGTGCGTTATTCCTTCTTTCGGGTTAATAATTCCCATAGCGTTACCCTGCTTATCCAAAAGACAAACGTAAACAAAAACACGTAGTTTGAGAAGTAAAAACAAAGAAATCAACGTAAGTATAATCGACAAATGCATGAAAACCGATACAAAAAATTAATAAAAATTTTGATAAATTATTGAAATAAAGTGTGAAGAATAAGCCTTTAAAAGAAGAAGTACAGTGTTGGCCTTCATTGACGCAGTTACATAGAGCAAATGACTTGCCTAAAGGTTTAAAAACAATATTTTAAATAGAAAATAAATGGTATTTGTTGTTTTTCGTAAGTCACAAAATGCAATTGAGTATAAATAAAATTTTAAATCGATTAATGTAACGAAAACTTAAATCAGTATAAAATAAACATAAATTAGATAACTAACTTTTAAATTTGAAATAAATCGTCTTTTATCTTCAACAAAGATTTCTGTTAATTGTGCTAATATACATACAAAAAAATTATATTATATTATAAAAATGGGAATATCTTGTCAGTGCCCTAAACCCTATATTCATCGCTTTCAACGTATCTAACTTAAATTGTAAAGTCCAAAAGCTTTGGTTAAAATAATTCCTTTATTTCATTTAAAAAACAGAGAAAATTTACTTTTACTTTTTTATTTCTCGAAAAACATATAACCTTCGAAGCCAGGAATAAATGCCATGTATGGTTTTATTATGGTTTAAAAAATGCCAGAATTTTCATACCTATCCAAGACATAATGGGCCACGACATAGCATTTCATATCCTAGAACGCCTTACAGTTATTCATATAAGGAGTTTTCAAAACAAGGCCGTATATGGGAAGCGACCGGAAATGTGGTCCGATCGAAACGATTCTCGATGGCGCTCATGGTTGTTCCAAAACAAGTCAGTATGCTAAATTTCATCAAAATATCTCCAAAACTGCGACCTCTACGTTGAACACAAGAAAACAAATCAGACAACCAAGCTTAAATCGACATAATAAAACTTGGATCTATTCTTCTACATATATCTGCACAAATTTAATACACTCTTGTACCACAAACGATGTGTGATATAACGACCTACTAACCAAATCGAACATTTCAATTATTTGCAAATATTATATAAAAAATGTAATAATGGCAATAAACTTTTAAATGCAGATCATATTTCTTGGAATTATCCGCAACGAACGTCTACGATGCTCACTGTTGTGGAAAGCTTTAAATTTTCCTGGCATAAACATAATTGAATGAGCCTGCATTCCGAAAGCTATACCTCCGTTTTCGGGACATAGAATTACAAAAGAAAACTGTTTATTGCCGTTTGGCAATATTAAAAATATCCTTTGTCATCCGTCCCTTAAGTTTCAAAACAAAATTGAGTCGATTTTTCATATTCTTTGTTGAGTTTATAACGCTTACTTCAACTTTAAATCCAATCATTTGGTGATGCATGGACTACATATTTCAACATCTTCAAAAAGTGTCACACTCCAACTATGAAATTTGGATTAATAATTTCTTTGACGCTATTTTCCGCCGAAATCTGCTCATGACTTCATTGCGCAAAACATTGAATTGAATGCCTATGAGAGAATTGTCCAGATATTCACCCGCAAGGGAAACATGATCCATAGCTTCAACTTTTATGCATGCGGCATGTAATTGCGAATAAAGTAACGCGAATATTTGCTACTTATATCAACATAAAACACAGTTTAACACAAAGTTTTATTATTGCTAGATTGTTGCTTTGGATCCTGTGTCGATTGTATACGGAACGAAAATCGTCTTGTGCCAATCCTCTGAAACGAAAGATTGAAGTGAAAGGTTTTCAAAACTTATATGGATAATAACAATACATACGGGCAAGCCTCCTAGCTACGTAAAGAAATTTTTTTTCTTTTTCTCTTGTTTGTTGAAAACATTTGGTGGAAGGACTTTCGCGTATAGATGTATATCTCCAGTAACATGTCCTGATTTCTTTTTCAATAAATCCCCGGTTCTAGGAATATTTTTTTTATTTTGAATTATTTGATGAACTTTTTCTCAAATTTATAATTTTATTGATTTATTGGTTATTCTATTAATACTTATTGATGATGAAATTAAATTCTTCTTTTTTTTTTTTTGTTTTTGTAAAGGAACTTTTATTAATTGTTGATTTTAATGTCTTTTCTTTACATTTTAAGTAAAAAAATAACATATGTAAGGTCACGTTCTAACTGTCAGAATATATTGCCTTTTGTTTACTTTTGTAGCCAAACGTCAAAACTGGCGCATCTGCATCTAAATAAATGTTAACACGTTTGAAGTAATTCATTGTGATTTTAGTCTAGTTAGCTATATGTTTAAAATTCAGTTCAGTTATTATAATTAAGTGTCAATATAATTCTCTTTCATAACAAATGTTTAATAAAAGACAAGTTTTCTATATTGAATTGGAATTGAAAAGTTAACTGTTCTTGCCCGCTATTAAGGTGCTCGCTAATATACATTTCGCGTATGTCGGAAAATTCTAAACTTCCAATGAATGGCATAATACTTTTTTTGAATAAATGGTGTTCTTCCGTGTGATTCTAATGCTCCACTCCCGGGTGTGTCCACATATTAATTTCGTACAATTTTAATATCAAACTACGTACATTAATTAGGAATTTTGATGACCCAATCAGAGTTACACAACAACTGGGTCTTGAACAGATAGCCTGAGTGAGGTATATTCATCCAGTTAATGCTTATATTGAGAAGAAGAATATTTATTATATGTATATAAATGTATTTGCCTGCAAATCGCCAACATATATATTTATAATAGCACCCTACAAACGCATACTACATTGTAGATTTTTTTTAATTTTTCTCTTTTGTGCTGCTAACTAATTTTAGATCATTTGTTTTTTAAAATTCAAACAAAATTTAAAAGTGTTTTTATTTCATTTGTTTGTTTTTTTTTTTTTTTTGTCTAGTTTTGGTTTATCGATGTCTGTCAGCGCAGAGTGTCTTCGTTATTTTTGTGAAAATTTTCGGAAAACTTCTAAAAGAAGATGTTTTTCTCAGGGTTGAGAACGATTGGAGATTACGTTTTGTGCATCCTTTAACCTGATATTCTGATAAACGCAGTGTGATTTACCAAAAACAAATAATAATAAACACCTCGGAAAGCAAGTAATTTTCTTAATTTTGCCTAAGTATGCGTGAAAGTTAAAATTAAAGAGAATTTACCGTAATATTGGTAAAAATTTTAAAGAAATTGAAAAATCAATTTTTTCTATTAACCTTAAAAAATTTGTACAAATGTAACATATAAAAGAAACGCAACACGCGACTACTCATCACATCAGTTATAAAAGCAATTTATTTATTTTATTTTACTTTTTTTTTTTGGCGAATAACTTACTAATTAACGTAATTAAATACTACAAATGAAAGCTATTAAATAACTAAATACGAAGAACAGTATTACAAATGCGAGGAATCATCAATTATCATATGATCAATTTTACATTTAGGAGTTTTCATATAAAATAATCGACATCCAGGATTCGATGAGGCAACAACTTAATAAAATGGAATCTACAGTAGCAGTCAAAGGTTCGGAAATTGAAGCCGCAAAACCTAAAGAACAACATGAAAAAAATAAAATCGATTCACCGTCTCCGAATAATTCGAAATTGGAAACGATTCATCAGGCCGCACAGCTAAGTAAAATTAATAACGGCGATCAGCAGAAGCGTGTCTATAAAATTGTATTAACTGGAGGTCCCTGTGGCGGTAAGACAACTGGTCAATCGCGTATGTGCACGTTTTTCGAGAATCTGGGATGGAAAGTGTTCCGGGTGCCTGAGACGGCTACCGTGCTTCTCGGTGGTGGTATCAAATTTTCCGATCTCACAGAAAAAGAGGCCTACAAATTTCAAGAGAATCTAATCCGAACTATGATTCAAATTGAAAACACATACTTTGAATTGGGCAAGTCCAGTAAGCGAAATTGCCTGATTATTTGTGATCGAGGTGTAATGGACGCAAGTGCGTATATATCTAGAAAAAAATGGGAGAGAATGTTAGCCTCCAATAATTGGAATCCTATTGAGATGCGTGATAATCGCTACAATCAAATATTACATTTGGTTTCGGCGGCCAACGGTGCCGAGGAATTTTATAGCACAGAAGAACATGCCTGTCGCTCTGAATGCGTAGATGTAGCCCGGGAGCTTGATTACAAATCCGCTGCCGCCTGGGTTGGTCATCCTTACTTTGATGTGATTGATAATTCAACAAATTTCGAAACCAAAATGAATCGTATGATTGAGTCCGTTTGTCAGAAAGTGGGCATTGATATAGGCGATCGTTTGCAAGCAACTTCAAGAAAGTTGAAATATTTAGTTGCTTCATTACCCACGGACTCTAATTTTCCACCGTTTCAAGATTTTGATGTGGAACATCACTATTTACAATCCTCAGGACCAAAAGTACAAGCGCGTTTGCGTAAACGTGGCCAAAATAATCATTGGAGCTATATACACACTATACGACGACCGGATGTTCACGGTCAGTCGCGTATAGAGGTGAAAACTCAGCTTACTCAGCGCGATTACATAAATCTTTTGGCGCAACGTGACGATGCCCATTTTACCATCTATAAGAAACGACGTTGCTTCTTAGTCAATAATCAATATTTTCAATTAGATATCTACAAGGAACCTAGTCATCCAAGATGCAAGGGTTTAATATTGCTGGAAACATATTCATCTTTGTCGGGCGATGCTTTAAAAAATTGTTTGCCAAAATTTTTGGATATTGTTAAAGAAGTCACAGGAGATCCCCTCTATTCCATGTTTAATCTTTCCTTGAAAGAAGATTGGAGTATAACAAAGAAATTCTGTCATTCGCTACAATGTAAGGATAAGAGTAATCATTGTGCTGATGCCAAATATTAAGTTCCAATTTGATCAATACTATTTAATTATGCTCACCCCCTTAATACATGTGCAGCAAAATCCATACCAAAACCAGTCATAAGGTTAGAGAGGCTAATATGTAGTCTTGTGCTCTGTATATAGTGTTGTATAATAATTTATAGATAAACGAACTGTGAATCAGAGTTATCTCAAGTTTTAATATATTTATTTATTTTTAGAAATTCTATGAACGTTTCAACCTTTTAAAGATATATTTATTAAATTGTACCTTATATATATATATACATATATATATGCATATGTATTTGTATATATGTATATTGGCATGCATTTGCAACTGAAATGTATGTTTCTGGCTAATTATAGGTAAGATTCATTTAAAAAATAATTAAGAAGTTGTTTGCTCAATTCTTAAATTATTTGGTATAATATTTTCATTTGATATCGCATCAACCTTGCTAGTAATCCTTACTCTGATATTTGTGCTTAGATTTACAAATATATATACATATATGTATATAAACTGCTTTTGCATAATATATATATACATACATATATATAGTGGCTTAGAATCCGCTTTTTACGTAATGTAAATGTAGATACCATTATTTTGACGACTATATGTAACAATGTCAATTAATACTGTTTATTCAACCCTTGCAAATACAGAAAGAAGTCTTATAAAGTGGCTTACGCGCTACAATAAAAATTGCGCATGGTCAAGATTGCAGTTCGTTCATTATTTGGACTTTTTACGGTATCTAAACACATGTGTGTGCATATACAGAGATATATACCTCAATGACTTCGAAAGAGAATTGACTTGCACTGTTTCATATTGTTTCTGCTTTTTGTCGTTGATTAAATCTAGAGAAGCTCATATTATATTCACTGAGATGTGAATAAGATTCGTATTAGACATCTTTCTTTTATCATACGCTCGATTTGTTACATATCTTCATGGCGATTTTATATAGTTAAATTATGTAACATTATTTGGCAGGACAAAATTACATCATTGTTATCACCTACTATCCCATATGATATATACAATATTTCAATTAGCATAATTTAATTTTACTGCTCGAATTTCACAACTACAAAATTCTTAAGGTTAACAAGATTGAAAAATGAAAAGGTTCTAATCCAAGGCTTAAACAAAGGTATATGCAAACGAAACGATTCGAACAGGTGCGAATAAGCAGGACTAAGCGCATTTTGCTGAAATCTTAGTCGAAACAAAAAGACTACAAGTTTCTTTTTTAATTTTAGAAGTTTTTAATAGGATTTCATTATAACGGGAACAACTAGGTGAACGTAAGTATAATACCACGACAAACTTATAGTAACGAAAGAAATGATTTTTCATTTAAGGTAAAAAATGATTTTAAAAGAAACCAAACTTGAACTCGAATGGATTGTCTGCGTAAGTAAATGGAAATGTAAAATAAATTCAATTGCAGCTAATGTAGACAACAATTTTTTTTTATTTATAGAGAGAGGAAGTAAATTAAATTTAAAGTGTCATTTGCCAGAGACTTGTACGAATAATAAAAATAATAAAAAAAAAGAAGCAATTTCACGAATGGATATATGATATAATAGTCTCTAAAGCTTGCTGCGTAGTTGAAACACCCTTTAAAAGTTTATTACAATTAAAAATGTATAAATAAACAAAATTCGATTTCCTAAACAAAAGCGTAATAATAAGCTAAATAATGGCAATAAAGAACAACTAATGCATAAAGAAGGTATAAAACATAAATAATTTCAACCAAAATCATGCATGAATTTTCAGTTTAATTATTTTTAAATATTGAAAAATCAAGGATATTAGGCGAACGTCTTCCCAAAAGTTACAGTGTCTCAAAAAGTGGTGCTAAGATTACATGTTATTCAATTTAATACTCTATAGTATATATGCAACAGAAACGTGACAAGTTCTACTTATTATATATTTAAATGTCTATAATTAAATTATTTAACATATTTTCATTTAATTACGTGTAACAAAGGCAATTTATGCGTAATTTTAATTTAAAAAAATTTCACGTGGAAACCTTTGGCCAATGACAGATAGCCGTCTTCATTGAAATGTCCACTCACTGAATATGTAACACCCTATATGTTCGCCTTTCCGCTTATGTTCAGACTAGTTTCTTTTCTATTGCCGGTAAAAAGAAAAACAGACAGATTAAATAACTTTATTTGGATTTTTTCGAAAGTTTTTTTTTTTAATTGAAAATAAGAGGTTAATATTTTCAGTAAAATTTGCCCTTATCCTAATCTTCAATCTACAACGCTTAAATGAAAATGCTTTCATTCAGATTACGAAAACAAAATCTTGATTGATTTTTTGAAAACTGTCCCTTTCTGAACATTAGATGAAGTGTTGAGTTTGTCTTATCAGGGCTTACGATCACCAGTTTACTCATCATTGCTAGAGTTCATAAAGCAACGAATGATAGTAATCCCGTTAACCTTTAAATGCTATTGTAATTGCGATCGTATGTTTAATACCTCATATCTCATACTATGTAGCAAAGTTTTCAGAGTGTGCTTTCTCTTTCAACCCTTAAATGCATTGTGACTAATTTTATTTTATTTTTAATTCTTTTTTAATCTAATTTTTTTTAAGCTTGATTTGAAAATTAAGTGAAACTGGAATGTAGACATTTAGCTACGATATGTATTTAAAGGTTAACAGATAACTGCTTTCGGACAGTGAGATATATTAAAATTGCAAACATATTTAATTTTGTACACCTCGTAATTAACGTATATCAATATAACTAAGAGGGAGAAATTCAGCGAAACTACAATTTCTATAATAAGAGCTTCAATTCACATATATAAAGGCTATATAAAGGATATATTGTAACAATGAAATAAAATGTGTGGACTTTGTGTTGAGCTTTTCTTTTTGGAACGTAATCCGTTGCGCAGAGTTGTATTAAAAGAAATTATGCTAATATTTTGCGCAACCCTGTAACCTTGTAAGCAAATGTATGTTTGCGCTAGTTTACTTTTATGTATCAAAGAGCTTCGGATTTTCTTGCAAAATTTGTGTGTTAAAAGTGAAATTTTAATATTCATGTAAAACTATGGAAAATCAAATAAGCAAAAGTTCTGCAGAAGAAAACGAGCTCGAAGAATCGAGTGTTACGATGCTGGATGTTTTGGAGGAAGAAAAAGAACTAGAGGAAGAATATGCAGCAGTATTGGGAGGTTCAGATGAAAAATGTTGCACCTACAGCGAAGGCGCTATAAAGAGGCAGGCTTTATATTCTTGCCTTACATGTTGCCCCGAATCGCGCAATGACCTGAATAAATGTGCCGGCGTTTGTTTGGCTTGCTCATATCAATGCCACGAAAATCATGAATTAATTGAACTCTATACGAAGCGTAATTTCCGATGTGATTGCCCAACTGAACGTATGGCCGGAAATCGTTGTCGTTTAAATGCTAATTTAAAGCAACCAATCGCTTTGAACGAAAACAATATCTATAACCAAAATTTTCAGGGATTATATTGTAATTGTCATCGCCCATATCCTGACCCAGAAACAACAGTTGAGGAATTTATGTTGCAATGCGTCATTTGTGAAGATTGGTTCCATTCGCATCATTTAAATGCATCTTCAAATGTGACCATAAAACTCATGGAAGCATGCAGTGAAATGATATGCGGACCTTGTATGGATAAACATGCTTTCCTACAAGATTACACCGGGTTATCACTGAGTTTGATGGAACAATCGCTTGAAAATTCTGAAATCAACGGTTCAATTTGTGATGATGTACGTGCTGGCAAGGATAATGACTATGATAAATTGCGTAATGATTTAGATAAAAGTATATCTGATATATTGAACATTGGTGAAGCTGCAAGTTCACAAACCAACACCGATGAACCTAAACTAAAGCGTCAAAAGCTAGAAGAGACCACTGAAGAACAATCAACTTCTAAAACGCAAACAGGCATATGCCGTCGACCTACACTTAAGAGTAATTATGAATCAGGTAAGTCTAATAACTGATTCTTGGCACTAATTAATGTTTCCTTCTAAATCATCGCCTCTCCTCTCATTTAAAGTCATTTTTATGTAAGTGTACATTTCTTGAGCAAAAAATAAATGGGAGGTCATGTTCAAGTTTGATTTCAATTATAATTCTGAAATTGATAAATTGTATGTTTACAACATAAAAAGTAAATCGTAATTCTTCTTTCCATCTCCAATGTAAAGGAACCCATATTTATGCGAATTGATTTTGTGAAAGAATGTCATGCCCAACCAAATGCATGACTTAATTACCACCAAGCGCTCATTACGTTGCAAATTTAAGGAGAATGCTTTAGACATGGGCACAACACAGTCAACAGAATCTAAAAAGTCAATGGGATAGTTGTAATCACTTCGCTTCGATAAGTTTAGCGTAAGGTCGTTGCGTGGTAAACGAAATATTTGATAATAAGAAAAATCTTCGCATTGCAAATCATTTAGTCCCCGAAACATTTGATTCGGTACGATACGTCCGTCAGTAAGCTTGTATAGGGCACCTCTCGGGCAAATTCCACATTCCTCGGTGATAATGAAAACAATGGCCGCCAAGCGATCCTCTTCCTTAATTCTAACCAATTCCGGTAAACTGGCAGATATTACTTGATTAGTATCAACTTCGAAAGTGGGATCCTTTAATTAAAATTGCTTGTAATTAAATTAAATCTTTTGTTGTTGTTGAACTCTTACCAATTTTACCGTAATTAAAAGACTGGGATCACCATAGAAGGGATCGGGGCAAAGTATAGCAGCCTGAAATATTTTCGGGCCACTTATAAAGGGTAACATTAACCATTGAAATCCATCCAAGCTATAAAAATATTTACGATCTTTAAGGCAATCCTTAATATATCCAAACGCGATATAATAATCGTTTTTGACGCCATTGATTCGTCCCCAAAAGTATATGCCAGTGAAGCGATTTTCATTTTGCAAAATTATCAGAGAGTTCTCTAACAAAACTTTTTGCTCTGGACTCAATTTCTGGCCGCAGTACATTAGACAATCCAAGCCCTCCTGAAAATATTCGATATTCATTGTGCCGGACCAGAGCCAATTTTGTTGTTGTTGTTGTTGTTATATATTTTCGAATAAAAAATAAAATTATATGAAAAAGCAAACTATCGATTGAAAGAAAAACTCCAAGGTAGTAAAATGGAAACGTATGTGATCGAATAATTGTGTTAAAAATATATAGTTTTCAAGTACAATTTAAATGTTCTTACTATTTAGATAACATTTTTGTTAACTTACAGGTCCTACTTTTTGGGCAGCAGATTGGCGCTTAAATCTCTGTCGTTGCATGAATTGTATGGATATGTATAAAAGCGATAAAGTGGAATTTTTCTTGGATAATGATGATACTGCTAAAAGTTATGAAGAACGCGGCATGAGAAGAGCCGCCTCTGAGTCATCCGCCTACGAACAAGGTATTCAAGCGTTGGCCTCTATAAATAGAGTTCAACAAATTGATGCGATCACCGAATATAATCACATGAAGGATCGCTTAAAGGAATATCTTCATACGTTTGTGGTTAGCAAGAAAGTGGTAACCGAGGAGGATATAAATCGCTTTTTTAATGAAATGCGTAGTGAAAGAAATGCTAGTGTTGGTCAACCATATTTTTGTCGATAAAATTTTATTATATGTCTTACATTTTCATTATTTCTTGATAGTTTTTTGTGTCACTTTTGTCTTTTGTAGTTATTATAAAATCATATACAATTGGCAAGAACGCCGATAAGTCGAATACCGATAAAGCGATATAGAGTGTGTGGGAAAGGGAGTTTGCTTGGATTTCATTCTTGTCAATGTATTATTTGCATTCCTTAAAAAAGAAAACTGTGTTCTTATGTATCACAAACAATATTCAAAATATAAAAAGTTACTTAAATACATTTGGAATGGATTAACTTTAAATGATTAGCCTTATTTTTTATAATTTTATGAATTAAAATAGTAGCTTATGTATTAAAATAGTGTTAGCTCGCAGCTTGGATTTGATGATGCATTGGAGAGCAATATCTTAGGTGTTTGCAAAAATTTTCGGTAAGCGACTTCTGCAGGTAAAAATGATGGGAAATATCAGTGGGCATAACAATTGAATTTCATGGTTTTCATCTTCCTCTAATATCATTGATTTATTCGTGGAGTGCTTAAAATTTTTCTTCCAACTTCATTACTTTGATTGTTTATTTGAAAAAGTTTGCTGCCGAAAGCAGCTGCTTTCGGAGACTTATGGCGGTGCTGCTCTATCATATGCCAATTATAGGCTTTGGTACCATCAGTTTAAAAGTGGCGACACGAATTGCCTGAAAATGCCATTTTTTTGCCACTTGTGACAAGAGTCGTCCAGGATACACTGCTGGTACTCGAATGGGAAGTTCTGCCACACCCAGCGCACTCAAGAGACATCTCCTGAGTACCACGTGTTCAGATCGGTGCAGCATGGTTTGTCCGGCACGCCAGTCCGCAAAGTTGAAGAAGAGCGAAAATAGAGATTGGTGTAATACGTTTTTAAACTGCATATGAGTGAGTTGGAAAAACTCTTTTTATATTATTCCAACAAGTATAAATTTGGAATTGCATTTAAATATTTATTAGTGTCATGTGGAATTCTTTTATCTAAGCAATAGTCTCTACACTTAAGATCCTCTACATAAGCAATTAATGCATTTATAATTTCATTACGTATCATGGGTATTTAAATAAAAATAATACCAGTTAGCAGATCAAAGAGAAATTATAAGGTATCAAGAAGCTTTCAGTTTTGACTGCTTGTTCGTTGATATGTTCCTTTCTGAGTGGAAAGCTTAGTAAAGTGTTCCCTTGCATCCGTTCGCACTGAAACAAGCAAGCAATGAAAGAGTTAATTAAATAAGAGCAATAAATAATTAGTGCTTCATAGCAGGGGATAGGTTGTTCTTTACAAAAGTCAACAAATTTTCATGTAGATTCCTCATTACTGTTTTATTGTGTTGTCCTCCCCAAGGAAAAAAAAATGTAATCATCAATTCAACAATGGCATAAGTTTCTCATCACTGCTTATATAGATTTATTAATTAGCATAAGGAAAGCGATATGTGTTTAAAGTCGGCGAATTTCATTAGTTCGCCATAAATAGCATTTAAATCTGTTAAATCGAATATAATTTTCTTAATTAGCTTTGATTGAAAGCAAAATAGAGATCTGCATTTAAAATTTTACAAAATGTTTTTATTTTATTCGAATTACATTGAATTTTGTTGTTGTTGTTTACTATTATAAATAAATAATAATACGAAATGAATATTTATATAAGAATTTTAAAAACTTTAAGAATTTTAAACTCTATAAAAGATATTTATTTACATGGGCACAAAATGCCAATCCAATTGAGAATCAATGTTATATTGAAGAACTAAGACAAACTAAATATCCTCGAAATGGGATTTTAGTTAGTTGAGTGTCGAACATATCAGGTAGATATAGAAACATTCGATAATTTTAAATCATCCGAATTGAGATTAAGAAATTGGTCGCTCCCGATTTGTAAAAGCGAATTTAATGGATCCAAATCATTTGTTACCGGCGTACTCAATTCAGTTTGAAAGGGGAATGTTTGCTGGCCATTATCAGGTACATTGCCATTAAGTTGATTTTGTTGCTGATAATCGTACGAAGCTTGCGGTAAATTCACTACTTGAAATTGCGATGAATTTGATATTTTTTGATTGTTGTCCAATGGCCATAGCGGTGTAATGCTACCTCCACTCGTTCGACTCATGAACGGATTAAATAACGCGTTCGTAACGTTACCAACATTCGTTTGTACATTGAAAAAATTATCATCATAACGGATTGGTAGTTGATTATTATTATTGTGTTCACTCTTGACGCCTAGTGTTTGCAGATTTCCACAAACTTGATTAAAAGTGTCACTCATTTGTGTTTGACTGCCAGCACTGGGTGTTCTCATAAGATTTGGTGACGGCGTCGTATTGCGATTCATTGGAGACAGAGGTGATGGTGGGTACGGACTACGACGCGGTCCAAAATTATACATTGATAAACCTATATTGCGATGGAATACGAAAACAAAATCAATTAACAAGAGATAGCAAAATTAGTTCTCCAAAATAAGTTTCACATACCATTATTTTCAGGTTTGATTTCGGGTAAAATTTCACTTGGTGCCGTAGTTGCTTGTATTGGCGGTATATTCCATGCATTCATATTGGGGCTTGCTTTGAAGTAATAAATTGTAAAATAATAATTTGATTAAAAACTCTTATCTGAAAACTTGGTTTAAATATAATGCAACATTCAATAACGATAACGGGTAATAAATGAAAGAATGGTGTATTAATTAGCCGGTCTACCGGTGTTTGCGTGATAAGAAAATAAAATATATAACATTGATGATAGTCAAAATTATGCTTGAGAAGCTAAACTGACAGTTTAATTATAATTGGCGTTTAGTATGCATTACAATAACAACAATAAAAAAATTATTAAAATTTATGAAAAATGCAAAATATTTATACGGGATAGCAACAAGCGATAAATATCGTTTACATCGATTGAATTAATTTACCATTAACCCACCTATCGTATATACGTACAAAGTAGATCTGATCCAATTCATTGGTCTTATTGCTTAAAAAAAAATTAAATAAGCTTAAAGAAAACGAGATTGTACACATCATAAATTGAATTGAAATTACATACCATAGGCCTTTATATCAGTTTGGCTAAGAGTGCGATAACTTAATAAATAAACAATCATTTAAAGAGATGTACGTCCTCTTCAAATTAAGTTTTATTTAAATACTACTAACATAGCTATGCACAAGGACTTAAAATTTGTAATTACAGACAAGTAAAGTAAATGAGATAATAGATTTTAATCAAAGTCAGTTAAGTTACTCATTATCCAATAAAATATATTTTAAAATTAATGTACGTCATAAAGGAAAATAAAAACTGCTATATGGCAATGGTTAGCTGTTTACAAAAATGTTTGATACTGACATGAAAACCGGCTTCTTTCTTATTAAAAACATTTTTCATTTACATTCATCCAATTACATAAATTTATAATATTAAAACAAATTTAAATTCGATATATATTCGATAAGACATATACTGAATGAGTGAAAAAAATGAATTAAAAATAGTCAGAGACGCCCTCTCCGCCGACGTTGCTCTCTAACTTAAAAATTGCAGATTTTCCAAGTTTTAGTCTTATTTATGAAATTCAAAAGTGAGACAAAAAAAGCTTATCCCAGCGTAAAAAATGTTAAAACATATAACGAAGATATTGCCTAATAAATGAAAGAAATGCACTTCGCTACCGTTCTTTTGAGGTTATGTCGTCACATTTGATTTAGTTTGTTCCACGTCTTCGGTTCGATTATCGACATTGTTTCCATGGGATCCTTGTAACACCGTTCGAATTTATTACCAAAATTGCCTTCCGATGACGGCTTACGATATAATGCCGAAGGTCTACCGAAGACTTTTATTAGTTTTTTGTAATAAAACAAAATCCTAGTTTCTGAAATGCTTTGTTGAGCTGAATCAAGCCTTTCTGTAATCTCCGATATTGTCAAAAATGTATTTGGATACCGGAAAGCTCTATCAGCAAGTATGCGTATATTCATGGGATGCATGTTTGGCTCTCCCTTTCTATCGTTGTATGTATGTATACTGAGCTAACAAGTGAACAAAAATGAAGATGATGTATGTCGCTATTAGGTGCGACGCGATCCGTAGCTACCGAAAAAGTTCATTTGCGGCCATACGAATTACTACGAAATGCTCCAGAGGCTCTGCGAAATTTATTGAAAGGGTTTTGTGGAGGTACAGTTTCGGATGGAACATGCAGAAGATGGTTCGAAAAATTTCAAATAGAAAATTTTGGGCGAACATTTTCAATCGATGACGACATTACCAAGGTCTTGTTAGAGAAAAACCTTTTTAGACAATATTGGCGATTGCACAAAGGCTTGATGCAGGCGTGGTTCCGAAAGCATACAAAACGTTCCGGTAGACTTAATAACTATGTCAATATTTCTGTTCACTTTGCACTTAATTTGGAAGCATTGAAGCTGTCAACCGGTAAAATTTTTCCAAATTCTTCAATAACTAGGGGCGAATTTGAATGATGCTTTTGCAATATATATTTTTCTCGGGTAATAACCTCGATGGATTATTAATTTTGATATGATATGAAGATATTTAAAAATGGCTCTGAAGTGAAAATATTTCATTACGAAGTTTGTTAAGATTCGGTGCATACGAAGCTAAAATCATAGGTGTTTACAATGACTACGCCCATTCATATATCCTTACAATGGAATATGTTATGTAAATGTACATTATTATACAACTTGCGAATATACATAGGCTAATTCAATTATGTTTGTTTAACCCATCACCATGAGATATGTGTGTAATATGTACCAATCCAAGGATACTCTTGAGTATGATATGTTTATGTGTTGCATATATATTGATTATTATATAGGTATACTACATATGTATATGTACATACATACATAGATGTATACGTCTGTCAACTTACAAATTTCATTGAATTTTCGCATTTGTTCATGCTTTTGCAATTCCCTTCGCAGTATATTCATAGCATTATCACCTGACCTAAGACGCTTACGCTTGATTTCATCTACAAAAACATATACATATATATATATATGTAAACATCTCTATAACATATGTACAAAAAAAAAAAAACATTAAAAAAATGGTGGCTCTTTTTAAGCACTTTTACTTTTGTATTCTTTACAAAATTTAATTTTTCCTAAGGTTCGCCTCTTGGTGGACTTACACTTCCAATTTAATCTATTTTGTTGGGTGGGCTGAAGTCAAACGCCTGGCAACTTCTGCCGGTGTTAATATTTGGCATTGTTCGAATTCGTCAGTATTTTCTTCACTTTCAGATGCAAGGGGTATATTAGTGTAGAGAGCGAAGTGTTCGGCTTCAGATAAATCTACTTTAGGATCAAGAAGAACGCCGTAGCTACCGTCACAAAGATTTTTGATACTTTGCCTATCGGCGATAGCTACAAGCTCCATGTCACCGTCAGATAAAGGGACATTAGCCAACTGTAGGGCGTTAAGGGTTTTATGATCAACCAAACCTTCAAGACGTTCCAGACTGTCAACGGATTTGAGACCGTTATTGTATGGATTATTTTCGAATGACATTTTTTGCGTTTCAATTTCTCGGCTGCCTTGCCCTCGGACTAAAACGCTGTTTACACCTCGACCGGGTAGCCTTTCACTGTTCGATTTCCTTCTATCAAATTCATAGCTCATCATATCTAATTGCAAAGATTTAATGGAACGCAATGAAGTGCGTTTGCTATCTCCTAATGAAAAATACATTTTTTTATTGTCTGAATTGTCAGTTGGGACTCTTAATTTGCAGTTTGATTCCTCTTTATGCACTTGGACATCGCTTTGATTCTTCTTTTTGCGTGAGAATAAACGAGAGAAAAAATTCTTTTTTTTTCTCGAGGGCCTATTCAAAGTAGACGACGAATACTTATTTGACTCCTGATCAGAAATTGACAATGCAGTTGTTTGTGAAGTTGTGTGTGAGGAAACACTTTCATTGCGGCTGCTTTGGGCCCCATGAGAACTGGGAGAATTACTGTTAGTTTTTCTATAAATTTCTTGACTTGGTTTAGGAGGCAAAGCGGGCAATACTTGATCTGAAATTTTTAATACTATGTTAGACGATGTGCATAAATTCGAGAATATAGGCATAGTCTCGGAGATTTCTACAGTATCCACTTGGATTGTAGGGGTCGATGGATTACAGGTAACAATGGATTCTTGTAGAGATTGAAAATCAATCTCCGCAGGCATTTCGATGGGGTTTTTTAAAGCTAATTCAAAGCTATTATGCGTAGAGGTTTCGTCAAAACTGTCATCTTTACTATTGTCATCAAAGCAACTGATATTGTTTGTAACATTTGTCTCGTTCTTTTCGGCATCGTGTTCATCAGAAAAGCTAAAATAATTTTCGGTCTTAGGTTGCCTGATTACTGCATTTGTATCAATATTGTCATTAAATTGTGCGCGTTCACTTTTGCGCAATGTGTTTATATGATTTCTGTTCATTATAATGTCATCGTTATCTTGAATTGACCCATTAGTTCCTATAACTAAGTTACACTCAAGGTCGTTGGAGTGCATCCAAGCAGTGATCTCTTTTATTGTGGAAAGATCTATAGATTCTTCCACTTCTCTGAGACCTAAAAGTTTGTCTTCTACGTCTGGATTGCTTTCTGCTGAGTTATTCATAGGTGGGAAGTAAAGTTTTTGCATTTGCAACTCGACTCGTTCATTAGCATTTTTCCGATTAACATCATATTTTTCTATACATACATCAGAAGATTTAGACGAAGGGTTTTCACTCGGGTTCGAAGAGTCCCTAACAGAATCTCTACATATAATCACGTCATTTATTGGATTCTCGTTTATTTGCGTCGTTTTTTCACCGTCAAGAGATAGTATTTGCTGAAATACCTTAAGATTCGCTTGTAGATCACGTTTACGCTGTAAACGCATAAAGAAGGACGTACCTGGGTCGGAATAGTATTCGAATGGTAAAGGCTCGCTAGTAGCTCCATCTGATGGTCGCACTAATTGGATGTAAACCTGCATTTAAAGTCATACGTAAGAAGTGTTTGCGTTAAAACATTATTTGCAATAAGCACTTACTTGAGGTCTATGAATTGCTTCTGTATTATGATAACGTGGCGTCTTAAATGCAATCGCTGTATGCTTATGAATATCGGTGTGCTGAAAAACGGCATAATCTTCCCAAACTATGGTTCCTTCTTTACTTAATTCATAAAATTTAATTTTAATATCTTTGGGAACCTTTTCGCAAAGCATTATTATTTCATCACCGCCGCTCATTTTGGCCGAGCAGCTGCATAAGCGATTAATAGCCAGGTCGTTTACAGCTTTCCGATCGTATACGGGATCGGATACTACAGGCGTCAATTTTTTGTATTGCCGTGGGCCAGATTGTATAAATGCTTGAAAACAAAGACGTACGACATTTAAATCAATGCTCGAGGGCTGATCTTTGTGCGCAAATTTTGCTGCAATTGGAGAACGTTTACGAATAAAACTTTTTTAATTTGCAATTACTATACTCACTTTTGAATGGATCGACATTGCGATTTTCGCGTAATTCTAAAGCCGCTTTAATATCCTTCTTCCTTACACACTGTACACCTAAATTGCTAAATACTGCTCTTGGAGGGTCACCTTTTACACGCATTGTACATATACCATATTCACAGCCCTCTTTACCAACCAGATTATGAGGATGTGGCCTGTACGGGGGATCTTTTGTAACACAGGAGACGACTATTGTCACTTCACCTTTATATCCAGCGATTTCAATGGTGGGAAATGTTTTATTTTCGGTTGTCGAATTAGCGCCGGGTATAGAGCCTGCCGAACGCCCTTCGCATTCATAGCGAAATCGAAGAGCCTTATTAGCAGGTTGCTCAACAATGCGTATGTAAGGCTTCTCGGATGTTGTGTATGAATTTTCGTGCCTTAAAATGTTTGTTGATTTCTGGGATTTTTGATTAAATGTTGGCGATGACGATCCCGACGATGAAACTGACGTTGCATTTGTAACTGCTTGAACTTCCAGAAATGCTGGACTCTCATTAAGTTCTGGACTGTTGTTATCTAAAGTCTTAAGTATATCAACTGAAAAGAAGTATAAGTCATAAGTATCATTATTATAATGCTTTCACTTTAGTCTTTACATTTGGATAAACTCTAAAATTGGTTATTTGCTAAATGAATGCTAGAAATCGCTAGCTTTTAGAATTTTTTCTTCATTTATGAGTAACAAGTGAGAAAGTTATATTCGGCGGGGTCCGAATAGCCTATACCAACCACTATGCTTTTGGCATTCTACTCTCCTAGTTCTTTTATTTGATACCCATATCGCTGGTATTATTAAGAAAAAAATTAATCGCGGTGTCTGCCGTCTTCATTTTAAACTTAACCCATTTTTAGGCAGATAATAAATATATGTTCGTTTAAGGAGTGTCCAAAATAGTTTTAAACGTTTTGTCTTGCTTGCTTTATGACAAATAAGCATTAAACCTCAAAAAAGTGGTTCCATTTTTGGACCTAGAGAGTAAAGTAAAGTGTCCCGTAAAGCAAATATGGAAATTTTCAGCCGTCTAACTTTAATAATTTCCGAGTTATGAGCAAAATTTCAAAAATTTTTGTTAAAAAAACTGACTTGTGTTCAGGTTAAGCTCGATTGTGCGTTTTTGCTCTGACCAATGTGGTCCATTTTCAATATCAATCTGCGTTCAGGAATTTTCAATGTTTCTACCAAATTTGAAGTCGATATCGTTAAATTTGCCAACAGGAGAGTGCCAACAACACACAGACGGACGGACATGGTTAAACCAACTCAGAATTTATATATATAATTTATAGGGTCTCTGCAGCTTCCTTTTGGTTGTTATATATATTTTGGAAAAACAAAATGATTATGTCCACATATTACAGTGGTGGGTATAAAAAGCAAAGACAAAGCTGCTATCCATCCTTGCATATATATAACTTAATATGTGAAATGTTGTTACACATGTACTTATAAAAATACGTCCATTCTCAAAACTTTCTCTGAAATCACTCCATATTATTCCATCCATAAGAGCAATTTTTAAGCAATTATGGTTTGCTTATGGATCACAGAGTGTCTGTACCAAATTTCACCTTGTTATTTCTATACTTGCGACTGTGAAAATTCGACAAAATTATTGGTCAAGTTGATCCATTTTAGTAGAAGTAGGTATATGCCATCTGCTAGAGAAAAATTGATTATACATATAAAAAAACGTCGCCAAAAAGCTTTGCAACTTTAAATGCCTTATAAGCTTTTTTTTTTTTTTTTTTTTTTTTTTTTTTTTTTTTTTTTTTTTTTTTGAAATGCAAAAGTTTAAAAAGATCGAATCGAACAACATGACAGTTCTAGGGTTAAACATAAACGACATTGGTAACAATATTCAAACCCAAAATTAATGTTAATTGTCGAAGGTCAGTGTGTGCTTGCAGTATGCTTAAGGGGAACTATAAATTTATCACAAATTAGTTTTATTGGTTTAATAGATGCTTTGAACCTTCTAGAATATGGCGGAAAAAATCATAGCCGAAAGAAATTTTTTTCATCGCTTTTCTATTTTTACACAACCCACTCCAAAAAGAATGCCTGCTCCTGATAAAATGCAGCTAAATGTCTTGTCATCTGTTTATGTTTATTTGCAAGGATTTCCAAGTGAAAAAAAAAAGAAAAATCTGTTAACACAACTTCATCGACGGACCGCGGAGTAAATATGAGGCTGAGACCGAACGAGTCGTAAAGAATCAATGTTAGCTAAGAATTTAAAATTTTTGTGGTTTAACTTTTGATATTAGTTATAAAAATACAATTAGAAATATTTTTGTCCGTCGCGAAATGACAAAAATGAAGCCTTTTGACAAAGTTATTTTCTAGGAGAGAGAATAAAGAAGAAATATTTGGGCAGTTTTTTGCGATTCCTAGGAGTGCATCTCTATAACACATTTCAAACCCTTAAACGCATTTCTTTCGAAGCGCGCCCATTAAACAATCATTCTATAATTTTCATTCTAATTTTTTAGAATATCCTCGAAATATCATTTTCTACGGCGCTAGATAAAGACTTAAGTTAAGTTATTAATATGACGGTTTGTTGTGTTTGGACGAAAATTGAAATTAAATTAAAAAAAAAAAAACAACTCCTCGTACAATTTAGTCTACTTTACATATTTATATATTTTCCAAACTTCTTTGAATTATTAAAGTTCAAATTTTATTTACTTACTTATATCACTCAAGCCCAGGTTATCGTCTTGTTCAGGCATGTTAACATTATCTGTAAGAAAAGAAAAGTTTTTAAGTAAAAAAGCAAGTAAGAACTTTATTTACGAGCAAGGTCAACTTGTAGATAGACTACACCACTTCACCTAATACAGTTATTCACTCGTTTTGATAATAATAAACGAAAATTCACACATTATTTTCATACAAAAGTATACTTTCCCCGAAAGCCGGACAAAAGAAAAAGACGTACGTCATCCAAACTCGGTAAGATTGATTTCCAAGTCAATTTGCTACCATGAGCTATTAAAAAATATACCGTTTTTACCTTATAAAGATTCAGTTTTCGTAGGGAAGCTTATATGTAAAGAGAATTCAATAATTTTCCCAGCCCAACGAAGTTCAAATACTATTACAGAGGGAGTTTTGTCGAGACATTTTGAAAATTGCAATTTTTTATAACGAGTTTTCAAAACAAGACCTTATATGGGGAGTGGTCGAAAAAGTCAAGTCTTCTAAATTACTTTTAATAGCGTTTGTCCTTGAGTCAAACTGTTCCAAACTCCATCAAAATATTTCAAAAATTGCTGCGTCTAGCTTCGATACGAGTTCACATCAACAAACCTTACACGGACGGACAGGACAGACAGAATCATTTTCTAAATCGTTTGTATAATAAAAAATGGGTCCATCCATAGCCTGTTTCACGAGCGTTGTAGGTTATAAAAAAAACAACATGTTGTTTACGTCATAAGGTCAACATTTGCTACTATAAACTTTGCGGCAGGCTGCAATCCTTAAATGATTTTTCAGATGTGCAAATACTACGAGGTGATGGATTTTCCTATTTTGGAGGTATCCGAAGAATTGTCCAATATTCTGGACTATAAAAGAAAAAGTTAATGCAAGTCATAGTTTGCCAGCGCTTGATCCGATCGTCCCGTTTTAAGTGCCATTAAATACCATACACCAATCCGATTAATACAGTTATTCGGTTACTACAGTTCAATTAATACAGTTATTCTAAACGAAATGTTATATGGGAAGCCTCTAAGAAAGTGGTTCCATCTGAATCATTTTCAATAGCGCTCGCCTACGTTAGCAAAACCGGACCAAAACGGACTGAAATATCTCAAAATTTACGGTCTACAGGTTGAACGCAAGAAAACTAGGCGAACAGACAAAAAGATAAGCGGTATAATAAATTGCTTGCGTCCACATAAACTTAATGTACCCATATACCAGAAATAGTCTACGATATGAAAACAAACATTAGATCCGCAAATGTGCAGAGTTTGTCAGTCAGTTTGTTTCACTTTGCGCAGATCTATGCAACACTTAGAATCGACGAGGCATGCCTGCCTGCCTGACCACGTATTTCTTATCAAGCTTAAGTGCGCAATTTACGAAATTAATACCAATTTCCTACACCAGAATGTTTTTGTCTACTGTTATAAATTGCATCGTTGGAACGTAGAAATCGCTACATTGTAAATAATTTTAAAAACACTGCAAACTGTAACGTTTTCAAATGATTAAGTGTTTAACAAATGCGGTCGAACCGTAGGTTCGCTTTAACTGGTCTCCAAACTTTAATATAAGAAAGAAATAACACACACACACACACACACACACACACACACACACACACACAGCATTATTGCTGTGGATGAGAAGGAAATCAGCGCCTCTCACATATTTGAAAATTCCTGATCACCTCACGAAATTGAAGAATAAGCCAAATTTTACCAAAAGTATTGATTTCAACTTTGACGGAGAGAAAAGCTGTAATAGGTTAACAATATGATGCTGTGGAATATAGGTTTGAAAAACTTTAAATACCTCTTGCGTAGTTACATCAGTTATTAGTTCCAAATAATCCTTGATTTATAAATGATATGCAATATGAGCTCAGAAAGTCGATTATTGGATTAAGATCATGGCAGAGTTCAGTTTCTGACGATACTACACAAAAAAATTGAAATGTGTTACCGACTGTTTCCACTACTTGAATTTCGGTGTTGAAATCGTAAACTGATTGTATGGTAAGCACTTAGAGGTTGACGTAGATAGAACATTTTATTAATGCCCCAGTATTTAAAACTATTACTTGAAGGTTTTTCGGACTAATAATATTCTATTTCTAGGACTTTGCATTCTCTATAGCGACATTCTCCAGTAAAAAAAGTAGTAATTGGTTCAGCTTTGATCGATTTTTCATACAATTTTTAAGAATTTATTTTTGAAAACTTATATAAGTTTTGCTGCTTATGTTATGTTTTTTAAATTGATTAAAAATTATTTTTATATAAATCAACGAATGTAGAAAAAAACGTAGAATAAATGTTATAAAATGCTCACAAGGCAGCATTGTTTCTTAAGATGAGTATCAAACAAAATTTGACAATTTTAAGAGAATGTTTAGCCGATTAACAACCGAAATGATTCGGCTATTCGGAGCGAGCGAGAAACTCAAGAATCTCTGATGTAGATTTCTCTGCCTTATGTAGAACTTATTAGAAGAACACATTGCATCCTCGGTTTCTGTAGGATTCTAGGCTTCATTAGTTCGTATGAGCTTTACGTGCGTAGAGCCTTCACCTGCCTTTGATGGCTTTATTTAAAACTAAATCGGGACAAGAATATCTAAGTAGTTGAGCCTACCTTTGCACTATAGTTGCGTGATTCAATTATATAACGTTTCGTCAACCTGGCGAATCAATTGTGGAAACCCTTCAAGATAAATATTAGATAGTCAGGAAAGGTGTTGTGACTTTTCACTATGAAATAAAATATTTTTTTTTTATTATTATTATTATTATAAATTTAGCCAGAGAATAAATTCTAAGACTAAAGTCTTAAAGCACTAGCATCTAGGGCTATCGGCTTTTATTAAAAAACTCTACCGCACTTGAGGTTTGAACCCACGACTATTGAGTTGCTAGTCGAGACTCTTGCCTACTCGGCCACTCAGGCGGATTTTTTTTTTTTTTTTTTTTTTTTTTTTTTTTTTTTTTTTTTTTTTTTGTATAAGGAATTAACTTGTTGTTTTGGATGAACTAAATTCTTCTGCTATCTCGCGAATGGTTATATGCCCAACAGTCGCAATCGTAACATTTAGTTGGTCAGTATCAATGGTATTTGGCCTACCAGAAAGCGGTAAAGCTTTTATGGAAAATTTCCAGAACAAAATTTTGTTTTCATTACATTTTAACAAAGGCGTTCTGCTACAACATTAGTTCCATGTACAACAGATGTTTCCCTATGCGCTTCTGTAATTCTTCTACCTTTTTTTTAAATAAAAACGTAAAATATACCTTCTAGGCTCACTTTGATCTCCTATTTCAAAAAATACGTCTAACTGTTATAACACAACCGAACGTTTTGAAAGTTTTTCACAAAATAAACATAAGCCTGGTCAACATAACTATATATATATATGCATTTAATCTTAAGTATATGTGCAGCTATCTGAAAAAAGTTATTTTAACTTGTTGTTGGGAAAAACCACAAGAAATTTCCAGACTAACTAATACCAACTGGAAAGGTTTTCCCGCAAAATTTTGATTTTTATATTTTTAATATTCTCACCCAATTTCAGGCCATTGTCTCCTGAGCATAGTTGAGAATGATCGGCTCTGTTCCGATGATCCTTTTATTTTCATTTTCATATTATTATCGCATTTATTTCGCTTTAAGAACGCCATCATAAGACAAAGAATCCAAGCTGTCTCTGTATATATCTAAATTAATTCGGACTAATTTGGCTCTGATGAGAAATGTATTTTGCGTACAGCAATAGGATTAGTATTATTAAACTATTTTCTTTTTTGCAAACAAATTTTTTTTTTTTTCTTTTTTGTTTAAGAACAAATATTTATAAATATTTATACAGCTCAATAGATTATAAACGGAGTGTTTCAAAGCTGATAGATAAGTTTTGCAAATGACCTAAGGTTGCTAAAAGCGAAAATACAGTAAACACAAAGGGTTATAAATAACGTTGGCGTATATTAAAAGATATAATGTAAAATCGTTGAAATCGCTTGTTTTAGTTAGGAATTTTTAATTTAAACAAATCAATAACAAATCAAGTTAATGTAAACAATTTACTTGAATCCAAAGCGATTTTTGTATAGGTATTTCAATATCATTTGCTCGTTTCTAAAACTGTGTTCTATAATTATTTGGCTGCGCAGCAATTTTGACGTCTTTAGATTCGATGTACACACTCGAAAGATATGTTTATGTATGAGTAAATAACATTTAATAACAAATTTAAGATCAAAACATTAAACAAATGGAGAAAAATTAAAAACAACACGGGAAGCCATACGAAGATTAAGTTGATATGTTATAACGTTTTAAGAAATGTTCGACTGCCAAATATGTTACACGGCTGTGCTTAATGCAATTCTTCCCGTAAGTTTGTCATAAAAAATCAGCAATAATGCTATGCGAAGCTCTCGTTTACATGAGAAACTTTATGTGGCGACCGGTTCATTGCACTCATCAAAAACATTCTGACTTTGCGATCGGTCACTAGTGATGAAACAAAAGAAAAGTAGTGTGTATTCTTATTGTAATTGTTTCGATACAACAGATGTTTGGAAGCCAGAGAGTAGTAGTGTGATTCGGGTATGCTTGGAGCATGCTGGGTTCGTATCTTCTCTTTGCACGATAAAATGCAAGGCGGTATTAGCTGGATAACGTCCGCAAAGTATGGATAATTTGAAAGCAGGAGTACGTATAATAATGACATGCTTAATGCCGATAATCTCAACTATCGGATCCACGGGAGTCAAAATTCGTATCCACTAATTCGTCACATGTGCTTAGCAAGAACCTTTCGGGGAAAACTAAGCAGGAGTGGTTTCGCTGCATTCGATGCAACCAGCATTGTATGCATAAATCACATAGACTTGGGTTTGTACCTTTGGCTGATACCGAAGCGGATGTGATTGTGCTGAACAATACTGCCGTGGAAACAGCTAAATATATATAAGGTATGAGTGTTTGGCTGAGCCTAAGCAGATGTGCCTGTATGTACACCTCATATGTGTTTATTAGGAACGTTGGGGCAGATGTGATAGTGCTACGAAAACTTCGGCGTGTATGTCTTGACTGCTGCATACGGCCCTTCGCGGGGTACTCGTAACTATCCTCAATTGCTAAAGCATTAAGTAATTAGAAGAATAGATGGGCCTCGCTCTATTCAGAAAGTAAACTTTGGACCATATCCAAAGTTCTTATCCGGTTGGTACTTAAGCCTTGGAATGGGCTCTCTTAGTTACAGAATTGTTTTGCTGGCACTCGCTCGTAAATTACTCAATAAGTTTACTGGTTTCGTTCGATTAAGCTTTCACTGCAGACACACACGCTAAACCATAGCGACATCTGATTGATTTTGCGTCGGCTTTGGTATTCTGAAGCAAGAGTCATGCGAAACACTCCGATATCAGTTTTCTAATAAAACAGGTTTCTTAACTTTCGTAAAGCACACAGAAGAAGTGCTTTGTGACTTGTGCTGTATTTGTGATGCCACTGGGGACATGTCCAATCATAATTTTTCATATAATAACAAAAGCGAGACAAAAAGTAGATAATACTAGGTCTCACTATTTATAAGAATCTTTATATGCAAGGATTTCGAATTATATCAGCAACTGATGATAAACATGACCCGTCCAATCTTTATGCAAAAACGTTAAATATCCCGAAAACTACGGCCTGTGAGTTGAACCTGGAAATACATTGATTGCTATCAAATGGACGCACGGAGTTAAATCGTTTCAGAAAATGATTCTGAGGAAATTCTTACAGTAAAAAACGATGGGTCTATGCCATGGCCCTTTGACATAGCTTATTATACCCTCGCAGCAACGAGAGTAAGATATAAAAATAATATCTTCCTCAAGACAATTTCTCGATACCCATACGTTCTAAAGCTTTTTCTGTGCGATTAGCATATGAAAAATAATAGACTCCCGACAACAAAAAATAAAGCGTGAAATGCCGGATTGATGCTGGTCGGGTGAGAGCTCATCAGTCCTTTGCAGCAACATAGGAAGACGACGAAATGCCTTTCGAAACTGTATTTTCGAAACTTTGACCTTGAGACTGGATGTATGCTACTCCGATTACATTTATTTTAAAATTTTCTTTTAAGTTAGTCTGTATTTTTAGATTGATTAATTTGAACATATTTCATACCGGATTTCGGACAAATCTTTTCGAAAAGTAAAAATTTTTTTTACCAAAATTGACGTCATATTTTGCCAAGAAGAGACGACATGTTTCACATTGTGAAGGTTGAAAGTTGAGTTGAGCTACATTAATGTCACGGCGGAGAGATGTCAAAAAAAAAAAATTGTTATTGGATAAAAACTTGTGCGTCGCCATTTGGCTTTTAAAAAATTTTCCAAAACATTTTTTGCTCTTTCATTAAGAACATTCTAGAAAATTACCCATAATTTCATGCTCGTAAAAGAGCATCGCTTACATTAGCCTTAACATTTATACCGTTCGCTTAGGAAATGAAAAAATACTAAAAAGCAATGAAATACAATCCTTGACGAAAAATAATCCAAAATTTGTGCCACGCAATATGCAATATAAATAATGGGCATCTATGCTTTTGCTATTTATTTATATATATTGTAAAGAAATTCGTTTTTTGCTTGCTATAGATAGGTACATACACTTAACAGAAAACTCAAAACCCAACAAAGGTGTTCTTAATATTAACAATTTATATAATAAATCGTATAAAGAGCACTTACCAACAGCATCATTCCGCTCCATATTTCTCTTATGTTTACACGAAAATGTTGAAATGAAAGTTTTATAAACTTCGGTTTATATTATCAAGCAATTACAATATCACACGACTACATAGAAATGATTTATTGGCAATATTAAAATTAATTATCATTTAAAATATTTTAAATATACATATATATGTATATATGTATATACGCTTATGCTTCATGGCGTGTGTGAAGCAATAGAAAAGTTAATCTTACACTACTTATGAGACAAGGGTATATTAAGTTTGTGCGAATGTGTACAGCACCCAGAAGAATCTACTTTTTCTTAAAAACTGGTCTGTCCGTCCACCTTATCGTGTATTCAACCTACAAGCAGCGAGTTTTGAGATATTTTGGTAAAATTTGTTATACCGGAGGACACAATCTTATGAAGAAATGTTATGTGAACTTCTAAATGAATTGTGGATTGCGGACAATCTAAAAAACGAATACAAATTCGATATTTGGAATAAATTCCATTTCTTTATAATTTTAATCTGCATGTTAACTTTTAACTGTCCGAAGGCGCAAGATTTTTTGAATTGTATTAGCTGCTTCCACATATTTCGATAAGCGGCATCTATTGGTGAAAATGATAAGGTAGTGCATGGCGATGATTTTTACCTTCCTCTGCATAAAATAATAGTTTTCTGCTTAGTATCATTGAGAAAAAGAAGAGTTTTCCGTGGCGTATTGTGACTGGCGATGCAAAGTAGAGGAAACCTAGGGAAACCATCCACATCGACACCGAAGTGGAATGTTCATGGTTATAAGGTGTAAGGTGTAATGTATTACGAGCTGTGAAAAGCGAATGAAAATCTTGCTGCAGATGTGTACCGAGGTCAGTTGAACGACGTTAAAGGATTATCAACAACGGCTAACGGACGCAAAGTTATCCTCTTGCATGACAATATGCTTGCTTATATAAGAAAGAGAGTATGGGCAGAGAAAGTACGATCTTCTTTTAGGGATGGATGAAATTATGAATAATCGCTGCGAATATGTCTAATGTGAGCGACGCTAGAGTATGTTGGTATTTGCTTTTATCGTTAACCTGGATTTATTTCTCAAGTTCTACCACGCGTGAAAAAAACGCCCAGTGAGTACTGGCCCATATAGGAAAGTTTCGTGATCCAAGCAGGGGAAATGTTGTGACACAATCAAACAGGCTGATCAATTAATATGCTACACTACTTCACCTAATGCAACACACTTTTCACTTTCCATCATATGAGCGCAAACTCCAAAAGCTAAATGAATGTGGCCCAGATTCCGCTATTATAAGTTAATTTTGTTGTGAAAAAATTTATTCTTTTTCATCCATTTTTGTCGCAAACTACAAAGAATTACACTTTGTTGCCATACAAAGGCTTACGGCAAAGGGCGCAGGAAATAGATGCATGTGTTTCAAACTTCACAGGTGAAGTTTTATTTTTTGTAGATATTTTTCAAAATTTTCGCAATTTATACATAGTATTCGAAAATACGGGATTCTACAGGTTCACAGGTCACGAAACATTTAAAATTGAAACTTTTTTGCATCGGGTGTTATATGGTGAGTGACCATAAAAGTAGTTCAATCCAATCTATTTCCTTTGCCCTCAAGCCGAAACATATCCAAGTGCTACATATTCTATCAAAATATCTCAGAAACTGCGACTGGTCGGTTGAACACGAGAGAGTATTTGCAGAAACCTTATACGAACATACGGCTAGACGTGAAAATAAGTCTGAATCTGAACCAAAAATTGACTTTAAGTTGGATGATATAATCAAAAGTGTCTCTATGTCAAGCCTTTTCGAACGTTCGCATAAACTTAATACACTCTAATCGCTAAGGTAACGTAGGAAAGATATAAAAGTATGTTTGATCGTAATTATCGAAGAGAAGCTTTATGCTTATAGCACTCTTTTTGGGATTTTTTAATCATAATTCTTTCGTTTGTTGCAAGTTGGTTGAGCTTTATTGAAATTTAAATTCTTTCAAAAATGATAGAAAAGCAAAAATACTCTAGGTTTTGACAGTTAGCTGCTACTCGAATCCATTATGAATTAAGCTTGCATCGTGCAATACTTATTATGAAATGAATTAACTTTCTTTCAAATACAGTTAATTAACTGTTAATTAACTCTACCTTTACAACCTTTGTAAACCCGGAAGATAAAATGGTTAATATAATCGCTAGATTTTAAGGAGACTTAAGTAAAGAGAGAGAGAGAGAGAGAGAGAGAGAGAGAGAGGATTATCAAGCTTTTAAAGTAAGAAACCTTAAAATTGCGAATAATCAATTATCATGAACGTATCAGGGATTAATAATGATAACGATTATCATTCATAGTTTTTCACCTTTAATATGTAAATGCGCTGCCTCACGTAGTATAGATCGGGCGCGCGATTAATTACGTTCCAGTAAACTTTAAAAGATATAATTAAACGCGGTAGTCATTAATATGTTTTCATATAGATTTACTGTTATGGTTAACCGACATGCGAAATGAATTTATCGGATACACATTTCGCAAATTATATGAATATTCTAGTTTTTTAAACACGAAGCCATGAATTAGATCATTTCTGATGAAAGAAGAAATCACGCTATATATGTTAACATTTTTTTGCAAAAATTTTCATTACAATGCTAAGTAACACTTTTACTATATTTATTGCTTTTGTTCTTATTATTTTTTTTTTTTTTGTAAATATTATTATTATTATTATTATTGTTATTATTTTAGGTATATACTTTCATTGAATTTATTATTATTACGTTTTAGTTTGACTGTTGAACATTTTTCACAAAAGCTGGTCTTATTTTAATTGGTTATCTCTTCCAAGTTTGTTATTTTGCTGCATATGTATATGTATGTAGATAAGTTATTTTCCGAGAATAACAATTATCATATATTAAACCACTCATACATACATATATACAAATTAAGCGTTTTAAAGCTTACGCCTTGTACGCTTGTATTAAGTTCATGTATATGCAAAAGGCAATCTCACAAATTTACGAATTACATTTATACACGTGATAATAGCGATTATAGTAGCGACTGCATTCTATGTGCAAATGAGCGCAGAAACTCTCAACTGCCTAAGAGCGCTTAAAAACACAAACTTGTATCTATTTTTAGATTTATTTATTATTGTTTACGTGTATCTTTGATTTATAAGTGCAAGCGGACTCGAATATCTATCGCGCACCGTACGAAGTTTACGCTTTCAAAGTGAACACTCAACTATTGTTGTTAACCATCGCACAATTGTCGGCAGTCGGTGAGTTGCTGCTAATGCTGCTCGTATGTGAGTCTAATTTCATGGCCGTAGCACTTTTCGGCTCCGCTTGCCTTTACTTTCTCACTCGTTCAGATCATTTCATTAGAAATGTTTATGTGCACACATTTAAATGGCGTTTGAAACATGAAAATGAGTAAGTAAATCGACTTGATCGTGCTCCAACGATAATGTTCGTGTGAGTGAGGCTTAAAAAAAAAAACACTTGGTCTGGGCAACTTCTGTACTTTGCCGTAACGCTAAAGAAACAAAAAAAAACACTTAAAAAACTTATTCGTCGACTCATGTTGTGTATGATTGTTGGCATCTACCTTATCGTTGTGTGAGATTGAAATCATTTTACACAAAAAAATTTGCTTTTTTGTCTAAGTTATGTATGACTTATGTACAGACGTATGTCCACTATTGGCAAATTTAAATAGTGGCGTATATTGGGGAAGGTGTACCAAGTTGTTTATGTTGCGATGTTCATCAAGGGTACATTTTCCAGGGAATATTTCTGTGTGTGTGTGATTTCCTGGCAGCTGAATTTAAAAACTTGTAGCTTTACGCTATAAATACGTGTTCATTTAATTTGTAATGTATGTAACAGCAGACGATTAATAACAGCTGATCCCAAAGGACAATAATAATCTTCATTTTAAACCCATGATTGGTAGATAACGGCTCTTATGGGCTTTGATGTGCTCTACAATCGAGCGCGCCACTTGCTGGCCAAACCTGTTGTGAGCATTGTATTTGTTTGAGCAGTGCTCTCTTCGCCTTTAAACATTCACTTGATATTCTATAATTTCAGCTACTATCGAGAGATATATTCAATTTGCTACAAACGTTTTCCCCACATGTGGTAGGCTGGTTAAAGATTCACGAAATTATTTCATACTGTTGAAAGCAAGGTGTTTACAATCAACAGCTGTAGTTCTGCATGCGACTAATTGAGTAAAAACTATCAAAAATCTTAGAAGGTCACCTCACCCCCGGCCTTTATGACAAATTGTTGCATATCGAAGCTAATATTTTCTTTTTTTATAGTTAGCCTTAGGTCTTGATTTTTGTGCATAGGTATATATTTAAAATATTGTATATATGTATTGTGAAGAAGCAAAATCGCCATCTTGTTTTCCGTTCACATATCTCCCGCTCGGGAGGAGCTGCTAAGATAAGTTAATTAAGTAGTAGTAAGAGTACAAGGACTGACGACGGGTAATGGGCATCTCGTCGTGTGATTTCAAGTGACATCTGGTAAAGTTGCACAAGCGACCTTTACAAAAAGTTGCGAAAGGACTTCTGCTGCAGAGAGGTAATTCTCGCGTGGTGAAAAAAGGTGGCTTTTTTGATTGACTTCAATATAATATCGCTCATAATCTAAGAACACGGGTACAGTATAAAACCATTTTTACGTTTGTGACAGCGAGTTCAAAACTATAAGTTAAGTCTAAGTCAATTATAAGCTGGACAAAATAATATTTGAATAACATTTGAATTGTCTACGCAAGTACGCCCAATGATTCCAGGCAAAAACTAATCGGAACTGTTATCTAATGGACGATGGAAGAAAAGCATAAAGACACAAATAAAAAGCTTGTGAGCGGATCCTGGACTCCGATGAGTTACCCCGGGATTAAAAGGAGGGAAATAGCCTCACAGTATAATAAATATTATTTCAATGACGTGGCATTCAAATCTCTTTCAATGTATTGTAAACAGTGTGTGCGGATTTCACTAAACGGTATGATATATAGAACTTGAACCAAAGTGTCCCATTTTGTTTGTAAAATACGTCCACTTTTCGAAAACAGGCATCGCAATCTCCTTAACAAATAATATCAAATTTCAAAATTTAGTGACAGAAAAACAGTAAGCATGGAAGGAAGTACTTTCCCCTTAGGGACTATCTATTAAAGAAATAGAAGTTACGATTTGACTGTTCCTCAATTTCTTGCGCTCGTAAAAAGGATAACATAGGCCCGAAAAAGCCGTTCAAAAACGAGAAAACAAACAAATATTGCGATATAACTGAGGAAAAAAACAAATTGTAACTTGTTGATGATAAGGGACAGAGTCCGACAATTATTCGCTTTCAGACCTTTTTCTGTTATTTCCTTCATATCGCAACTTCTTGCAATTTAACGTAAAAATTTTTCAAAAATCAAAGAAAAAAAAAATATTTAGAGAATGCCTTCTGGTGTAACCCTTTTTTTATAATTTACCCTAGTGTTTATAGGCCTTAAAAGGGATATGTTTAGTCCCCTTAAATATACAATCGCTTGCTCGGTGTAACATTGAGAACAACATGTAATTATGTTTTCTTTAATTAATTAATTCTTTCAAACTGCTTTCCCTCCGCATGGTTAACGCGAAGATAAGTTGGCGTACTCTTTCCCGATTGTTTGTCCATTTTATCGTGAATAAAATTTTCCTTCCATCCGTTCCAATTATTCATTAAACATTTTTTAAACATAATTTTGTAGCATTGTTCGTGACCGACCAACTGTCTCAATCTTGAGGCATACGAATATGGTGTTTGCGTGTTCATCTCTTTGCTCTTAAACTCAACTCAAAAGAATCGAGATAGAAAGCGAATATTAATAATCTTTTAGTATTAAGGGATAAAGTTTGAATATAAACAGAATTCGCCTACAAGTATAGCAATCGTAGAAAGCTTTTATATTAATTTATCAATACGAAAACTATTTTATTTATTTATTTTTCTTCTTTTTTTTTTTTGAAAGATCGACTCAATGTAATCGTTATTTAGGAATGGAATGAGGTATTGGTTAGTTAAAAGATATATCGAGTTTAATAGCTTCCAAGTGGTTACTGATAAGTAACGATTGAGAGTCTTCGCTTGAGCACCCTTAGTTGGCGGAATACCTGATTGGAATTTAGACAATATCCACATATATGTGAGCTCCTTGTGTGGGATGATCATAATTCGCGAGAAAACAAATATGGCGTTGTTGCTTATTACCCTTTACATTACAGAGTTGCAGTCCACTAGTTCTTTGTAATATTTGAGCATACTCTTCGGAAACTAACTTACTACATGTATACATATACATACACACTTTACTTTGCGTCTTAGAAATACTCGTAACTCTGCGAGTTGAAAAGTATTACGGAGAAAAAGAAGGAGAGAGAAAGAAACAGAGAGAGAGAAAGAGAGAGAGAGAGAATCGAAAATCAGTTAAAGCCAATTAATTGGAATCAATGCAAACAGACATCCAATACGGTTACATATGAATGATGTATAGCTGTTGCCGAAAATTTCTCGCATTGAGGGCAAATTGAAAAATTTGGTCACTTGTGTTTAAAATTTTGTAAAACTGAGATAAATGCGTAAATACTTTGAAACGACCTTCGTCCTAATACGTGACGAGAAAAGCTTAAGTTATAAATAAATCGTTTACAAAGTACACGGCTTCCCCTCTCTCTCTCTCTCTTCTCGTTTTATTGCCGTTATTAAAGTTTTACATTTTGATTTGTTTTTTTCTTACGTACAATAATTTCCCCTCCATTACGCTTATGCATCACTAAGTATTGCACGTATATATATATATAATATATATATGTATTCGAATGGATTGATAGGTTATGTAACTTTACTTTTAAAATAAAACACGATCACCTCTTCTTTTCGTCATACTTTAAAGCATTTCGGTCTTAGTTGTTGGATTACTTCGATGATTCATCATACTATGTCTTGATGTATGCAATTTGCATTTATTGGCTTTCGTTCGTGAACATGCTTTCGAACATCGCATTTAACATTTTTGAGAACTTGTTCATGACATTGTTGCAGTCCGATAAAATTGTATATTGTTAGAGAAATTGTGATTACATATACTACACATATATATGAATGTCTTTCTTTGTGTAATAAAAACTTTTTTTAAATATAGATAAAAAAATGTTTTATTTAATTAAAAGCTAACGTTATATCTTTGCATTTCCTCGGCATATAAATAGCAAAATTGTTGTTGTGTTTTTCCTGGAATTTCTATTTCTGCGGCTTTAGAAATGAAAAATACCTAAGACGTGAATGAAACCGGTTACGCTATGCTTTCAATTCATGATAATTGATTTGAAATCAATTATGAACAACATCCAAGTAATATTTACTTATACGTATTGCATATGTAGCGCGTGCGAGGGTAACCAGATGAATGCAATAAAGTGAACAGAACATATAGTGACAAAAAGAAAGTAAAAACTAGTTCTGCTGTCCACAGTCAGTCAGGTGAAAAAAAAAATTTTTTTTCTTATTGGTTAGTCATTATATATATAAAAATATTTTTCAGATTTCTAACTCAAGAAGTTTCGAATATTTTTTAGCTATAAACTATACTTATTTCTTAAGGTTTCACCCTCCAAAACAACGGTACAGTCGGTATAGATTTAAAGAAAAAAAATACCTTTGGTCACCTTAGCTATATGATAATTTTGAGAAAGGAGATATATAGAGCAGATTGAAAATGTTGACGAGAAAACCTATTTTAATAAGATAGTCTCTCCCATTTTTTATAGTCCAAAAGCGTTCATCATTACTTTAAGGTCACTTTTGACGAGTTTAGTAGTCAAAGAATCGATCAACTGTTTAGTGAGTATTTGTGATAAATAATTTTTCAGAAATTTTTATTTTAAAATATTAAATTTCGATTTCCCATGGTTTACTCCGACTAAGACTATTGTTATCAAAAACATCGTTCCAAAAATTATTAAATAAAGGAGTAGAAGTTTGCGTTCATATTCATTCATTTCATCATAATATTTGTAACATCCAAACGGAAACTTCAGAGACTCTGTAAAGGAGATATGGTCTTGATCAGCGTGAAATTCTGAATCGATTAAGCCACGTCTGCCCCTCCGTATGTGCGTTGTTCACACTCTCTTGGTCGCAAAAATCAAGATGTTGACTTCAAACTTGGTAGAATTGTTGAAAGTTTCTGCATGCTTAGCACGTTTGGTATTGAAAATG